AGGGACCAGAGAGAACACTCTCGGACAAAATTTGTCGCTTTTTACAGGTTTCCATGGCAACGGTAGACATATTGGAACTGAACGACCTCACTGCACAACTACAACCAGTGATCGTCCTTTGAGGAAAGTTTCAGGAAGATTGTCCCAGCCATCTCCGAGAAACAGCCTGGATAAAAAAAACATGCGTACAATATCAATATGTCGTCCCCGACTTCGTTCGGGGCGACATAATAATAAGAAACAGAGTAAAAACAATATGTTCCCCAACTTCGTTTGGGGAACATAATTAGCACAAATCTGAGCATGAGTGACAGGTGGCTTAGATGGAATAACTCATGACATGTTGAGTAAATTGATTCAATAATTAATTTCCAGATTCGGAGTTACATAGTAATTAGCATAATTAAAGTTTTTCAAGTTGTTTAAAATAAGTACAGTAAATTAAGAGTATATTTTAAAGTCAGCTAAAACATATGTTACTAAAATTGTTTTTATAAAAAATCACACCGTGATAGTACGCCGACTTTGGTGTGGTGTAAACATCGCCTCTGTCCCAAATATCTTTGGTTCCAGGAACATGGAAATCATAAGATTGGGTCTTATGTTCCTCGTATCCACCCATAGCTCCTTTCACATTACTTGCTTTTGTGGTGAGGTTTACGTCAACTTTACCCATCAACTCATCTAAGCTGTCGTCGTCAGTCTTTTGTCTCAAGTCTACACCAGAATCAGTAACTAGAGAGGGCCTACTAACATTAAATGAGCTTGGCGTAGACTTTAACTTCTCTAACGTTTCTCTTAATTGTCATCGTCTAACGTCAATTTCTTCAAGATCTGCCCACAGTTCTGATTCTTGTTCGTTCTTCATGTTTGATATCTATATACCAAGTAACCAAACAAAAATACTTGGTACTCAACTATATTAAATCTTACTGCGGTGCACGTACCTAACACAGTGCACACAGAACTCTGTACCTGGTATCTGAACCAAGTAACTGATCTGCGTTCACGAGAACCCGGTGACAGAACACAGTTCACACCGTTAAATAAACTTAAACACAGATTCTAACAATTAAATGTACCCTGTATCCCTTTACCAGCTACCACCAAAATGTAACGTGTAACCTTATTTAAGGGTCCGTTTTCAGAGATACAGGGTCTTAATTTTACAAAAATATGAACTTTTCCTCTGGCTCTATCTGAGCCTATAATTAATACTGGGAATTAAAATTATGTACAAGTATGATTATTTATTATTTTTGTGGGATACTTGTCCTTGTTTATTTTTTTTTTATTTAAACACCGGGATCTACAAGCCGAGGTTAGTTCTTTATAACCGGGTACTATGACTGGGCTCCTTGCACCTGGTTCCGTAACCTAGTTCCTATTGAATTGAGCACTCGGTGCCTCACCCTTACTCAGGATTACTACACCTTGTGCTTCAGTTCAATTCCTTGGCTAACTACAGACCGGTGCTCTGTACCCTAGCCTTACTTATCCTTCTTTTACCCTCTAAACACTTCTAATTTTTATTACTACTTTTAATCTTCTGTTCAGCTTCTCGCTTCTTCTGCGGATTTTTGAGAGAGCGAGACTGCCTCTGCAGTCATTTATATAGCAAAGGGCTATACCATTCAAACAGGGGTGAACAGGCTCCTGGACTGTTCCATTTGTCCAGATCACACAAGCGTTTGAATGGTATAGGCCCATTGCCTTATTCATTACTCATTACAAAAGTTATGGCCAAGGATATGTTTTTAAAAGGTAGGTCAAATTCCAAGGCCAAAGAGTCAAAGTTGTTGGTTTCTAAACAAAGGTCACAAGGATTACATACATGAAGTATGAAAGCCCAGACCTGACTGTTCAAAAATTATGGCCAAGTTTTTAAAAAGTAGGTCAAACTCCAAGGTCAAGGCCAAAGGGTCAAGGTTCTTGCAATCAACTAAAAGGTCTTGTCACAAGGATTAAATATGTGAAGTATGAAAGCCCTAACCCTAACCCTTCAATAGTTATTGCCAATGTCTCTTTCTAAAAAGTAGGTCAAACTCCAAGGTCAAGTTCAAAGTTCTTGGTATCGAATGAAAAGTTCTTTTCTTATGGATTACATATGTAAAGTATGAAAGTCCTAGCCCTTACTGTTCAAAAGATATGGCCAAGGTTAAAGTTTTTTGTAAGTACCAAAATCTCCAAGGTCGAGAAGTCAAAGTTTTTGGTGTCCAATGAAAGGTCTTGTCGCAAAAAATACATATATGTGAAGTATGAAAGTCCTAGTGTCTACCGTTCAAAAGTTATGGTCAAAGTAAAAGTTTAAAATTTTGGTATAAAAGTGTGTCAAACTCCAAGGTCAAGGTCAAAAGGTCAAATTCGGACCGGTGGTACTTAAAGAAAGGTCTTGTCACAAGGAATACACATGTGAAATATGAAAGTCATAGCTTCACTTAATCAAAAGTTATGGGCAAGGTGAAAGTTTTTGCGGACAGACATACAGCTAGACGGACAGACAGACAGGAGAACACAACAAAAACTATAGATATCCCCGAATCCTCGATTAGGGGGGCATAAAAAGTGATTCTCTGCCAGGAAGGTATTAAAAAGGTAAAGTGATATCCAAGCGTGTGTTGTTGGTGGAAATTACAGTTTGATAGAATTCGGAGATATTTCCAGTTTTGACATTCACTGTGAGCTGGAATATATATTTTTTATCATTTATTTGAAAGAACAAAAGATGTCATACTTATGTTTTTCTTAATGACAGATAATTTTTTCAAAGATTTTGTCAATGAAGTATTGCTACTTAAACATGTTTACTCACAAAAATTGAGGTACCTTACCAGGCATTTCTGCAAGATATCAGGGATAGTTTTCCTTATATAATTAATCCTTTTGGGAAGAAAAATAATTTTCCAGTTTCAAATGTTTAAGTGTTTGTAAAAACGTTTAGAAACTGGTTTAGAAATCAGAATGTTATTAAGATTTAAAATATTTTCCATACATTACGAAGATATACAAAACATATATTGAGGAACGTCTCGTCTGACCTTAAATTGATTGAGTCTACTCGAAAGTACCCTAAAGTTGATATTAATTAAAAGGATGTCAGAGTTCCCCATTGACAGATTAACATGAATCCTAGTCTTCGGAGATCCTTCCAGTAGGGGCGTCGGCAAGTATCTCACATTGGGGAGGCGAATCGGATCAAAAAGGGGGGGGGGGGGCATAATTAACTACAACTTCTTGTGACATAAACTAAAATAAAACGGCCAAATTTTGATTTTTTCGATTTTGTCAATAGCTTAGCCGTGATCGGGAGGTCGTGAGTTCATATCTCGGCCGCGACTGATCTAGTCGTTAAAATGGGTAGCAACTGTTCCTTCGCCATGCGCTCGGAACTTTGAAGTGAAAGTTGCGGGTCCTTCGGATGAGACCTTAAAAACCGAGGCCCCGTGTCAGCGGCAGGCGTTGGCACGATAAAGATCCCTCACTGCTCAATGGCCCTGAGTGTCGAGTAAAGGTCAAAATTTGAAGCCCTTCACCGGCATACGGTGACGTCTCCATATGAGTGAAAAATTCTCGAGAGGGACGTTAAACAATATACAGTCAATCAACCAATCAATCAATAGCTTAGAGGTATATTCTTGTTAAAAATTATCATTAAATATAATGCCACAACAACATGTTTCATGTGTTTTAAGTTACAAATGTACAAAAAATTATAAACATAAAAAACCAAGTGATTTTTTTTAATAGTCCATTGTCCTGCCGAAATAAAACGGGCACCCTATGTTGGCAATAAACTCAATAGTCTCAATATGCATATACCTTTATATCATTATATGATATTTTTTTAATTCTCAAGATTTTTAAATCTCAAGTGTCTAAGAAAAAAAAAACTAAAACAATCCTGTTTTATCCAGTTTTTAGAATCAACAACAAAAAACCTTTCTTATAAACACACGCACAGGCAACTAGCAAAATCCTCAACTAGACGAAGGAGGCTAGACAGAGATCAAAGAAGGAGAACAAGACATATTTTTCTCCATGCTTGTCCAAAAAGCCATTTTCATGATTTTGTTTCAATTTAAAGCTTCCTTGATAAAATGGCAATTTTTTTTTTTTTTTTTTTATTTTTTTTTTCATTGTCACACATTTGACTCTTTGAAGTAATCTTTGCGAGTAAAGTGCAGCATGCACTGTTACAACGCACTTTGAAAATTACACACTCTGAAAATAAAAGAAAATTAAAGTTCATTAAATTTGGAACCAAGTTAAAGCACTTTGAAAAAATAATCTTAATTTTTCAAAGTGCGTTAAATTTGGGAAAAAATCAGAGCACTTTGAATCAATTTTTCAAGATGCGTTAAGAGTGGACATCAACATTTTTTACCATGGAGGCACTTTGATAAAATAAAACAAAATTTCCAGAGGTAGATTTTAGAAATGTATTAGTAAGCATTCTTTGAGACATTCTTTCGAAAAACTGATTGATTGATCTACCATCATCGAGAACAAGGATAAAACATGAAAAAGGCCCCTAGCTCACCCCAATGCTTTATGTATTAAAATTTCGCTCATTAAATTTAAGTTAACGCAAAAGTAATGAAAAATGATTTTGCACATGTGTTGGAAAATTATTTTCAATGAGAATGCAAACTTGGACTCCCATTTTGTTGCATTTTTAGTACCCCTAAGGGTCATACATGTAAAACGTCGATATCTCAGAATACTAACTGAAGTGAAGTTAAATACCAGGTTCAAATTTTTTTTAATATTAATTTATATGCGAGAATATTGACTAAGTCGTACAATTTTTTTTAAAGTGTTTTAATATGGTCGATATTGACGCGCTTTGATTTTTTTCAAAGTGTGTTGACACACTGTACTAGAAACATCTCTAGACATTATAGAAACTGTTTGTGTGTTTTTTTATAGGTCGGGCTCGGTGTGCTTGAACTGGTTTCAACCAATGAAATGTAGATAATTACATCACGTGGTCACTTCAGCGCGAACGTTGAAGGGAATAAACAATCTTACAATATGACGACTCGTCTGCAAGAAATTCAGAATTCATATGAGCATAGGTAAGATTTATAAAATGTAAGAGGTAAGCTACATGGCATATACACCAACCGATATTAATTTATACTATGTAGTTTAGTTCTTTGTGTCGCGATCTGCATATGATTACCATGTTTACGTTGAAGGGTTGAAGGCGTGCTGAGTTTTCAATTTGCGATAGATCTAAGTATCCGATTACCGTTCCTTTTAAATGTTTTTAATTCGGATTATCGATAAGGCTCCAAAATGTTGAATGCATTTTCCCTTAATGGATGAAACCTACCAAATTGCATGTGTATTTTTTTTTGGGGGGGGTGGGGTGGGGGGGGGGGTGATGTGTAACTTGTTATATTATCATACAGGTCTGGTACAAACACTAGATTTAGCTACCGCTACGTAGGTAAATTACACATATAGCTTTATTTACCAACCTAAAGTAGATTTATTTAGCTACCAACAGGTTGGGCACCCCCCACCAAATGGTCCTTTATCCCCCGTTTGCTAGACAGTCTCCCATATCTGTGACATATTTTACTAACCATTTGCGGTCCTACTAAAGTACGCCTGCCGACGCCTGCCAGGGGAAAATACGCCTGCCGGGAAAATCTATACGCCTGCCGTGTTATTTATTGACTAAAGTTATATTTCATTACATATATTATTTTAATAGACTATTTACTTTTAATGTTTTACCAAACAAAAATAATTCAAAAAGCACATGTCCGATGTTTTATTCGTTTTATAATTTGCTTCCGTCATAGAGCACGCCTGCCGAGAAAATCTACACGCCCGTGGTGTTGTTTCTTTTATCATGTACTATTTTGAAAAAAATATATTACTTTAATAAAATATTTGGTTGTAATTTAATTAATTATAAACAAATCAAAAAGGAAAGAAAAAATATTTGACAATTATTAATAAAAATCTACACACGAGTTTTGCAGTAATATTAAAGGAGAGAACTCCTACTTTACGATATTTTATATTCCTTATATATTTTCTGTTCGTCTAAGAAGACGTGAATTCTTACTTTTATAAACATTGAAGCTTATGTTTGTACATCTTCGCTAGCCAAGGGTTTCCGATCCGATACCTACTCTACAACCCTTGGCAGATTTAGTCCTATCAAACGGGAACTTTGATTGCGCCGCCTATCGCCGTAATTGAGTTAAGTCCCTTGAAGCTCTTTTATATTTGTCCAATGAAAATAGCTGTAACATACGTAGACCAATATGACGTTTGAAACAATATGGCGACCTCCATGTGGAATATATCCAAACAACTTCATACAGCTGTGGGCAGTGGGCACACCTCAAAAGTGGTAGAAAATATCGTTCTTCGTGGGTTTTTAGTCAAGAGTTTGACACCACTTTCTACTTGTTGCCGTATCAATCAATATCAATGAGCCGTGACATTTGATTGGCTTAAATTGATGCACCTAAGATGCGGAACACGGACTTAGGTGGTCCTTTCAATAAATCTTGAAAACATATATAATTAAAAGAAAAAAAAATTAAAATTATTCCCTTGTTTTTTTTTAAGCACAGATCATGTCCTAACTTTCATCCCTTGTAAATATTACTTTTATTTTGCAAAAAACACGAACAGACTTTAATTCAGAAGAAAATCGTCAATTAGGAAAAACCTTGCGAAGACTCGGACTTCGCAGCCAATCAAATTCGTTTGCGCGAGTTCTAAAATTTTCGGCCAAATCTGCCAAGGGTTGTAGAGTAGGTATCGGATCGGAAACCCTTGGCTAGCGAAGATGATGTTTGTAAAACATATAAAGAATCAGGGGCATTAAGACCCTAAATATGCCCCAACCATAATGGACAAAATATTATAAATATTAAAAGAATTATGATTGAATCACACCTTTTCAGACATATTTTGATGAAAAAACCACTATTAAGACATTTTGGGGTCAATACAAAAATAACACAATTTTCACTGATTTCTCGAAATTCTTAATAATTTTTTCCCCTGTAAATATGATTAAAGAAATAAAAGATGGATGTTTAATACAAGTACAACAGAAATAATCTTAAACATGTGAATAGAAACTATTTTTTTTTTAGCTATAAGTGGTAAAAAAACGGATTTAAATGTAAAACAGTTGTTTTTGTCCCGCGCTTTCGCGAAAGCGAGGGGACATTAAATCTCATTCGTCTGTTCTTCTGTCCGTCAGTCTGTAAGTCTGTCCGTCACAAAAACTTTAACCTTGCCCATAACTTATGATTTAATGGAGCTATGACTTTCATATTACACATATGTATTCCTTGTTACAATACCTTTCTTTGGGTACCACCAAATTTGACCTTTTGACCTTGACCTTTGAGTTTAACCCACTTTTACACAAAAATTCCAAACTTTTACTTTGGCCATAACTTTTGAATGGTAGGTACTAGGACTTTCATATTTCACATATGTATTTTTTGTGGCAAGACCTTTCATTGGATACCAACAACCTTGACCTTTCGACCTTGACCATGGAGTTTCAGTAATTATGAAAAAACTTTAACCTTGACCATTACTTTTGAACGGTGGTGACTAAGGCTTTCGTACTTCACATATGTAATCCTTGTAAAAAAAAAAACTTCCATTGGATACCAACAACTTTTAACCCTTGACTTTGGAATTTTAACTACTTTTTAAACTTTAACCTTGGTCACAACTTTTAAACAGTAGATACTAGAACTTTTATTTTTCACATATGTATTCTTTGAGTCAAGACCTTTCATTGGATACCAACAACCTTTACCTTTTGACCTTGACCTTTGAGATTTACGTACTTATGAATAAACTAAAACCTTGACCATAGCTTTTGAAATGTGAGAGCTAGGGCTTTCCTACTTCACATATGTAATCCTTTGAGAAGACCTTTCATTGGATACCAACAACTTTCCTTTGACCTTGACATTGGAGTTTTCACTACTTTTAAAAAAACTTTAACTTTGGTCACAACTTTTGAACGATAGATAATAAGACTTTCATATTTCACATATATATTCTTTGTGGCAGGAGCTTTAATTGGATATCAACAACTTTGACCTTGACCTTAAAGATCTACGTACTTATGAATAAACTTTAACCTTGACCATAACTTTTGAACGATAACGGCTAGGACTTTCATACTTCACATACGTTATTCTTGTGAGCAGACCTTTCATTGGATATCAACAACTTTGACCCTTTGATCTTGACCTTGGAGTTGACCTACTTTAAAAACTTTCACTTTGGCCATAAGTTTTTAATGGTCAGGATTAGGGTTTTCATCCTTCAAAAAAATCAACTTCAATGATAATTTCTAAATAAATGACATATGGTAGGGTGTTCATATTAGACACAATATGTCATAAAAAAAATAACATCTCACTCACAAAGACACCGAAAGCGGGGGACCACAATTCTTTGAATTTACTTGTATGTATTTAACATAAAAATACATTGAATGCACAAAGTGAACAAACAAGAAATGTATTCAACTAACATTTTTAATAACAATTCATTAAACTTGACAAAAATAACAATAAGGGATTTCAGTTTGCATAAACAAATTCCAGAACTCCCATCACCCACCTATACTTTTTCCAAAAAGATCATAGAAGTTTAACATCACACCACTCATGCCTTATACACTACATTTACTCATAATAAAATAATGTTTATCATCCTCGCAATGTCATAAAAATGACATAAGCATCAAAGAATTAGTTATTCTAGTACATGTTTGTCTGGAAAGGTTTTGTAATTACATTGTATTACAAAAAATAACAAGTACTTGTATATAGTCATGTTCATTATTAACAAAGTTCAATATGCAAATAAACACATTGCATAATAAACTGTAATTGTTACTATTATCTGAGAAACATTTTGTGATGCATTATGCATTTTACATCAGTATATTAATTTTGATAACAATTAATCATATGATAATAACAAATCATTTCATTTGTCAAAGTACATAATTCATCTTTCAATATTTACAACCAAACTTATTAAACTCATGCAATGAATCTACTATGTTTTTGGGATGTACAATGTACTATATTTTAATTTCTCAATTATATAACAGATGTTAAGAAATCACAATTTAAACATAAAAAAAAATCATAGATACATAAAAATCCCTATTTACAATTAATTAATAACAATATATACACAGCCTTCCACTATATTGTTACTTACTTACTTACTTATTGTTGAAAACAATAATGGGAGTCTAATGCAGTTGATATCATAACCTGCAGATTGATTGATTAATTGATTGTATATTGTTTAACGTCCCTCTTGAGAATTTTCATTTATATGGAGACGCCTATAATCTGCAGAATGTTCACTCTCAATAATGTTCACTATCAATAAACCAATGTCACAATTCATGTCACTCTTCCGTTGCACTCATTTCACTTTCTGATGAGCCATCCATTACTGCAGGTTGCACAGCTGCATCCTCAAGTAGTCAGCCCAGTCTTGAATAGGTCTTACTGCAAAGTTTGTGTGTCTTTCATAGCCAAGAAACCACAATACTGAGGCCACATGGGCACATGCCCCGACAACTCTGGCTCCAGCACGACACTGACAACACTAACAAGTAACAGCTCCAGTAACAGGATATTGTTTTGGACCATCTCCAGGCATCCTACAATTAAAATATAAATATCAAAATTAAATTACTATATATATTATGTAACTATGCACATTTTGTCTATAACTATGGAATGAAGGGAGTTACTTGTACAGTGTATATACATTTGCATAAGATTTTCTATATATATGAGAAAAAGGGAATAATTTATTTATACATGTATCACCAGGTATAATATATAATTATTTCATTCATGAAATCAATTTAAATAGCAGTTTTATTGATTTACTTATTTGAGTTAAATGAATAAAAACTTAGGCAATGACATTATTGGGTACTTTAAATTAAAACAAAAAAGATGAACCTTGTAATGACAAACATTTTTTTTTTTTTCATTTAAATGGTGATTTAAATGAATTCATAATATTCCAAGGTAATCTAATTATTTTTTTTAATACTGACAAAAGTTTAATTTTACATTAATAATATTTTAATTAATAAGTTAAAAAAAACAACAAAAATACATTGTTCCCACAAGAAAAATAGAAAGAATTTATATTGTTTATTCTGCAAAGAACATTAATTAGATTTAGTGATGTTAGCTTATTTTTAAGAAACAATTTTTTTTTATTTCTTTAATGGTTTAACATAAAAAAAAAATTAAAAAAAAAAAAAACTTCTTGCCATTTTTTTTTTATTTTTGACTGTTATAGCACACCATACATTTACACAACGTACACAGGTACCAGTGTAAGGCTAGACTCAGTTGTATTTGTACTCAGACAGAAAAATATGTTATAAACCCCAACCTAGAAATGTAGTATATTTATAATCTAATGCCGTATATGTAAAGATTTTCACAACTGATAAAACGCGGCTAATCATGCAGATCAACCGGCCGATCGAGGGTTCATATGAATGAATCATGAATATTAGGGCCTAAATAAAAAAAGAATCGACGATTAAGTCATTTTTTTATAATCTATTTTTTTCTTTGAAAGAAGATAGCATGTTGTGTTCCTGTTTGATGTATTTTAGATACACATTTTCTATTTTCAACTGTTTGACATGCATTGATTACCGTCCCCCCGAGTTCATGGAGTTAGCGTAGTCTGTCATGTCGAATCTTCTATCATTAATAAGTATAGGAGGGGATTTAATTTTGAACAGTGCATGTAAAATTACAATTGCTCTGATTTTCAATTCATCCCTACCTGTTAAATGGTTAGAACTTCGATAAATCTACTGTCACATTTTCTGTTTCCTCCAACTTTGTTTACGTCTGAATATAAAAACCGAAACCGGAAGCGATCAAAATCGGCCTCGAAAAACTTCGTTTTATATATTTTTCAGGGTGGCCGCATGCAAGCAACAGAATGATATTTTGGGATATAATTTATTGTGCCATTTTAAACAATCTATTAAATTTTTACTCTGTTGTTTGCGTGCGGCCATATCTAAATCCTGTTTGGAATGTGAGAATTTGATGGAAATTTCTCAATTCCGGAAAAATCACCCTACTTCACATGGTGATAACTCAACTACAAATCAAATGTTGAAAATTTTATTGCTATTTCCATCAAACTGGACATCTCGATATATGAAAAATAAACCAACTTAACGATAACACTGGTATAAAAATATTTTAAAAATATTGGGCAGCTCACATATGCTTACTGCCCCTGATTCTTTAAAAAAAATGTTTTTATGAAATTAAACTAGATATGTCGAAGACCCGAATTATAGACAAGAAAGAAATAACCACGGAAACCATCCATGAAGATCATGTCAATTGATTCACGATACAGATTGTGCAACCATTATAACAATTTCTACAATACTTGTCTAACTATTTCAACAATTACTACAATACTTATCTGAGGAGGAAGAACTGAAAAAAAATTTATTTGCAGGTCTGGGGCGTAAATAGTTTGTGTGGTATGTTGTATAAATATTTTATTTGTTTCATGTATAGAAGCGCCATACTACACCAATTTTTTTTTTTTTTTTTTTTTTGGCATTATACTTATTAAAAAATTGTGATAATACTTGTGTATTGAACAAATAAAGAATAATAAAAGTACGTCAATTAGTATATTATATATTTTCATTGCTTCCATATGTTGATTTTCTTTTTTGTTACTAGATTAAATACATTCTCAGTCAGGTCAAAATTGCAACATTCGAATGTAAATTGACGATCTTTTCAATAGTTTGATAAACATGCATTTGTATTATATTCGGCATTTCCTTCATCCATATTTTCTTAAAATTCATTTATTTAATAACCAAATTAACTAATTCTGATTTTGTGGCTCTGGTTCATAATATCCCACCTTGGAGTGTGTATAGCGCACATGCCAATCTTCTCACTTGTCATGTACCTAATTATGTAATACCTCATAATATTACTCACAGGTACGGTATACAGGAAGGTCGATCATTAAGTTTCATTGAGATTTGAAGTCTGTGTATACACAGTAAACATGAATTCAGACATTCATATCATTGCAAACAAATTTTAACAATAATGAATTTTGATAGAACAATAATATATAGCGAGAATATTTGGAACTTTCGATGGATTATTTTTTCTCTAATTGAAATAAATGAATAAAATAGATTACTTCATCACTTTTCTTAAATCATCGAGTTCTTTGCCTAGACGAAGAAATTGTGAAACGTTGAAATGTTAATTTATAAGATGAAAAATAACGTGTTTTATATTTTGAAAATTAGTAACTTTTTAAAAGTTTTGTTTATTTCCATGACAGCCCAGATCGCTTATACATGTTGCAAACATGGTATAAACACATCATACTTTCAGTAAATTTTACTCTTCAGACTATTCTTTGACGTTACATATCTGGAAAAAAAAATGATAAAATAAAACCCCATGCCGAATTATTAGGTATGGGTTCCAAGTTATTTGTTTGTTTTTTTTTTCAAATGTGTGGAACATCAAGTGCCTGCATGTGTTATTTCTTTTGTTTTTTCTTTAGAATTTGATTTACCTCATCTTCCTTTTCTCTAAATGAATGAAAAGGAATGATTTTGAACATACAGGTATAAACAATATTTTGTACACATGTCATGTAAATGCTGATTTTCTTACTCATTTCGTTTATTTCCTTCTCTGCTTGATGTACATGTAGACATGGATGTGTAGGAATAGTTTAAATTATACCATTTCTCTTACCTGTAAAATTTTGTATTTATTTTTATAACTTTGTTGCAAATATTAAGTTAATATAACCTGAAATAATAATCATATCATTGATGTTTAAAAAGTTCAACATTGAATATTTCAGATTCTGATTCAAAACAACTACGGTAACCCGTAAATCGCAAAGATTTTACTGCATATGTGCTCCTGAGTCATTGTTAATTCTATAAATAAATACGAAATCAATAATATTTTTATTCAAAAAAAAAAGAAAGAAAGAAAAACATGATGTCCGAGGTCTTCACACAGCAGTTCCTAATGTCAAGTAAGAGTTATCTCCTTTAAATATATATTATTTTTTTTTTGGATTAATTTTTTTTTCAAATGTTAACCAAATACTTTTGAAAAGTAACTTTTCAAAAATTGTAATGAGAAATTAGAGAAACAACGCCGCAGGCGTTAGATTTTTCGGCAGGCATGCTCCACGCCATAATGCAAACTTTAAAACGATTAAAAACTCCATTCTGTGCTTTTAAAATTATTTTTGTTTCCTAAAACAATAACTACTGGGTCTGAAAAAGTAATATACCTAACAAAAAACAAATTCATTCCATTAATAACACGTCAGGCGTATAGATTTTCTCGGCAGGCGTATTTTCCCTTGGCAGGCGTATTTTAGTATGACCCAACCATTTGGGGGAGAAAAATGGTTGTGTTCAGTTCCATGGAGTGGTGTAGAATTGCGCTTAATTTTGAAACGTGGATTGAAATAGAGTAGGGATGTGTAATTTTATTGGTATGTTGCGATTTTTTGTTGCCTGATACAGAGACCTTAATTCCGGTATTAAGGTGCATATTATAAAGTCCAGAAATTATTTATTTATTTGTTCAATCTTTCAAATTATCAAATTACAAACCACAAATCACCACCTTCCAATTGAAACAGGTAGATGGAATGGTACTCAAAGAAATGAAAGAGTTTCTAGCTTATGCAGTAGTTACCAGGATGTTCAAAATATTGTAATGTTTTCTTGATAGTAATATCATATTAGCAACCCAAGCTGATTTTTTATGTTGGGAAATTGTAGACAAATTCTATGTCATTGGAAAGAGGTCATTAAAACTTGCATAATACTTTTAATTTTATTTCATAAAGATTATCTTAATTAGAACAAAAGTTATTGGAGTTAAAAGTCACTAAATTGCACTTGTTTTCTAGAATTGACTTTACCGCTTCAAAAAACAATTGTATGAATTAATAAACATAAAAATATGCACACAGATCAAAAGTTTAATTTATCCTCTTGCCAAATATGTAAGTTTTGTTTTACATAACGATTAGAAAACTTTATTTTGAAGACGTTGAAATAAAGTGATGTGAAATTTTGTTCAATTCTTAATGGCACGCGGTGATTTTGAAGACGGACCCTCACACTTAATTTAACAAAAAGACGTTTAAAACAAACTTCGCTTCCAATGAAGTGATGTGAAATTTTGTTCAATTCTTAACGGCACAGGTTGACATTTTCAGAATTTAGCAAATTGAATGTCGTTCTAATTTCTCATAGAAATCTTTAGTTTTTTTCTGAACATTTGTAATAGCCATAACATTTGATCTGTGGAAGATAAGGATATAATACCAGGATTTTGATTTTTTGGGTGTGCTTTTCAGATTCAACTGCATGATCTGTTTGTGCCCACGGCTTCAAATGGTAACCGGTTACTGTCAACACAGGATTTGCACGCAGTGCTTATATACAGAAGATGGTATTCGTAAACCTTGTCTAGATAATTGTCCCACATGCCAAATGGAGGATTCTTTTCCAGTTACAAGGTACTGTTTTAGAATTTACATTGTAGAAATAATTTTTTCTTACTTTTTGAATGTTGCTGTATTTTGAATCATTCATGATTGCAATTTACATGTAAACAAGAGTATGCCTGTTCCTTTTGTAAGTTTCTTCAAGGCTTTTTTCAAGAGATTAATGAACTGTTCCCTTAAAAAAACTTATTTAATTAATCATATTTCAGACCAGCTATTCCAGAAGATACTGTAGAAATCCAGAGATGTTTGGGAGTTCGTGCATGCCCCCATTCTGGTTGTGTAATGGAGTTGTGGGAATGGGAATTGGAAGAACATTTAAAGTAAATCACTTGTTCAATCTTGTATGAATAATTCCATAATTTGAATATGAATCAAATAGATTCACTATGTATAGGGTTTTTTTGTTGGCTCACCTGACACAAATGCCCAGGTTTGGTTATCTGATTGAAATGTATATGTTGTCAGTCTCTTTTTAGCTTTATTGATCAGAGAGCAGAGGAGCTTATACATGTACATGAATAAGGTATCCTTCTTCCATTGGTCTTTTAAGGTCAAGAAGCCTTTGGTGAGGGTCTCAGGGGAATGATGCAAAGTGATATTAATGTAAATTAAAAAAAAAATTCCAAGAACAAGGGGTCCGTATAGGATAAATCCCCATGAAGCATGAAAAGGAGAGACAAGCATTTAAACTGTTAGTATGGAAAGGAGAAATGAGTTAACATACATTGAAAATTCTTAAATACATATATGATAAAAGTATGTGGTTGGAATTGAACCCGGGCCCATGTTTTACTAGTCAGGAGCTCTAACCACTGAGCTGTCTAGGGTGTTGTCCTTGGTTCATCCTAAAGTCTAAGGTTCCTCCCTATAAATAGACTTTGCCCCCTAGTCAGGACTAAGCATTGAATATATACATATAAATTTATATATATATATATATATAATTCCATGAGCAAGGTTAGGCCATGGCACATTCTTCTTGTTTGTAATTCATGGGTTTATTGATCTAGACATTGATTGTAATTTTTTTTTCAGATTGTGCCCAAATCGTCAACCATCACCTCCTAAACAAACACCTAAGAAGAGAAAATCAGTGCGCAAAACTGAAGAAGCCAGTAAAACGACACGATTGACACGCAGTAGTACATTTAACATAGGCTCTAGGCGGTCCCAAGAGCACCGAGACACGAGACGCCAAACACGAAGAAGTACACAGCATCAGACTTTGTATAACCATTAACCTTTTATTCTACTCCACTTCTAAGGGCACTGTTAATGAATGAGTGACGGGAAGTTGTTGTTACGAAAGCTTCCTACTCGTGGAGAATTTTTGTTGTTTTAAGGAGTATGAAGGGTTTTAAAGGCTGTGATGAAACATATATACAAGAAGCTTATTTTTTTTTCCTGAAAACAAACTCGTATCTGCATATACATGTATATAGCATTTTTTAATGTTGGTAGATATGTGAGTAGATAGGAGAAAACCTTGTTTGTCTACCATGTAAGTAAAATTCAAGGCTGTTGTTCCTGTGCTATTAAAGCTGTTTATTGCATTTACACATTGAAATTCTTTCTGTTATACATTTAAAAAATATTTTATATAAATCTGTGCTTTAAAAAAACAACAAGCCAACAGCTTTTGTGTTAATTTATTTCAACAAATACTGAATTGTCCAGTAAAATATGCATTGCAGGTGGATGATACATTCATCAAACTTTCATCATTTGCATTGAAATCATGGAATTTTACAAGATTTTATTGACAGTTATATTTAAGGTATTACAACCATTTATTGACCAAGCTTGATGACAGAATTTGCTTTGCTGAACCCTCGAACCAAATTGTTGTCTTTAGATTGAAAACCTCAGGCGAAAAGTTTGGTTGTCTAGTCCAGCAAAATGCAAGCCACTTTCAACCCAGTCAATAAAATGTCATTGTCTAATGCTCTAATATGAGATCTTGGTTATTAGGGTGATGCTCAACTGCTTGATTGATGCATTAAACAATCTAAATCAATGTTTGTTACCATTATATCAGCGTACATATATTTTTGTTCTTGTAAAACATGCTATTCATTGTAGTGTAATATAGGTAATATTTGCACTTCTTAAATATGTTGTAAAGACAGCATACAGTTTATTGCACCTTATTACACATGGTTTAACAGCCATTCAACAGCTGCAATAATACCCGGTATGCATGTTTTTTTTTTTTTTTTACCAATTTTGCAACTAAAAATATTTTTGATTTATAATACATAGTTTCTTTTTTTTTCCTTTTTTTTTTTTACTTGTATTTATCTATATAATGTTATTTTGTTAAAGTGTAAATAACTTTTTTTCATTCTTTCTGTGCATTACATGCTTTCTCATTTATCTAAATACACTGTGTCTGAGTGTGGGTATCTAAAGGGATTTCTTGTTGGATGTGACATATTGATGCCCTTACAAGTTTTATGCTTTTTATTAAGGAATTTCTCAGTTTTAGTAAATTATTAAGCTTATGATATAATTAAGCCTGTATTGGGAAAAAAAACTGTGCCAAATTTCAGTAAAAAAAAAAAAAATACTGTCATTTTATTGTAAGTAGTAAATGGGAGATTTTTTTATCTTCTAGCTGTTTATGTAAAATTTCATTTTAAAAAATTCATTATTTAGATATTGAACTTTGATGCTGAAACACAGTTATCTCAGTTTCAACATTTGGGAACAAAATTGAAGTGTCTGGTTTATGAGATTAGTTGATGAGTATCATGAGTATATATTTGACTTTTCATGTATTTATCTGTTTTCTACTAGCTGACTCTAAACATGCTTAATGTTAAGCTGTACAGGATCTATTCATGTCAAATAGATACCTGTAGTTATAAATGTTCACTTGTGTAAGTGTGAGTAAATACCATTATATCATTGTTCTGCACTGTTCTGGTGTTCACTGTATTTTGTATGATGCATAACTGTGTGCTGCTCATAAGAGATGTTTAAAGTAGTTTTATGCCCTGTTCACACAGATAGTTTAATTTGCAGTAAATTATTTTGAAGTAAAATAGTGCAAATTAAAATGTGTTCACACTACAGCTAATGCGAAGTAAACTATCATAAATTAAAATTTTATTCCTACAAAACAGCTATTTATTAAGGCTGTTATGATGTCAATTGCTAATCACTTCATATATGCAGAGCAGATCCATTTAACATAATATCAGTCACTACACATTGATTAACAGAATTTTCTCTCAAATATAGCATATATTTTTATATATATAAACCACTGACATAAGGCCTTTGACTTAAGTTGGTCCTTGTGCATGCATCAATTTAATTCAAATTCACTTTGCCTAGCGATCATGTGGAGATAATGTGAAGTAACTTAATGTGCATTAGATTAATTCAAATTAAACTAATTCGCATTAAATCCTCCCCGTGAAAGCAGTTCAATTTGCAGTAACTTACATTTAATTCAAATTAGACTCAGTGTGTGGACAGGGTATTACCACCTGCATAACATCAGTTATTTATGCAAACAGCTTTTTATATTTAATTTTTTTTTTTTTTTTTAGAGAAGTCTGAAGTATTTATTCTGAAAAAAATTTACTCTGTGTACTACATTCAGTAAATTGTTCAATTGTTATTCTACACGGTAATGTTTTGTTGAAGAAATTAAAAGAAAAAAATATTTTTAATTTTGCTTTCATTAACTTACTGTAGAAGTATTTTTTCTGTGTAGTATTAATATATACATGTACTTTGTATGCAGGAGATTTGTTCCAGCATATAAACTCAAGTACATTTGGAATAATTTAATTCGAGTGGACCTAAATGTGTGGAAAAGGCATTACCGCCATACATAAATGTTCATATTCCTTCATTGTTCAACCAATTTTAAATTTTTATATTTTCTATTTTGAATTAGGAATTATTATTTTTCTGAAGTATATAAATTTTTGGAAGCCTCCTTTATTAAAAAAAAATCATTTATCAAAGATTTTCCACCGAATATTTCTGCTATATTTTCTTAAACTTAATAAGACAAAGAAAAAAATATTTCCAATATGGTGACCAACATTAAATTTACTTCATCGAAAACTATCTATACATGTATAGTGACAATCCAAGTTACCTGCACAATTTTGAGTCTGCAGTTTGGACAGAAATAGTGATTTCTCAAAAAAAGCATCACTGAATATTTACATTTCCAATGTCTTTGTCCGAGATAAAATTACCAATTGTAAATGTAATTGATTTCCTCATGAATGTTTTGTGTCCGATACCTGAAAAAACCACGTGCAGGGCAGGACAACACCTAGAGAGATGCATTTAAAGCCCGTGGATTGGCGGAATCAAAGCATGTAAATATAAGGAATAACTGTCAGATTTTTCGAATTCATGAAGTGATCAATGGATTGGCTTGTGTGATAATTTGCATAGTTACCTGCACAATTTTGAGTCTGCAGTTTGGACAGAAATAGTGATTTCTCAAAAAAGCATCACTGAATGAAATTCATTCCTGAATATTGAGATAAATAGATGTACTTTCCAAGAAGAGGCAATCTGATTAAAATTGAAGAAGAGGCTGACGCTATACATTATGAAGAAAAAAGGGAGAGCATATTGCTTTGCTGTTGCATGTTGGCTGGTCTGTTTGTCAGTCCACCAATAGTTTCTGTTTATTTTCTTCGTAGAGGTTACACATACTGAAATGAAATTTGGTATACAGATTTAACATTAGAATATCTAGGTCAACTTCTGTTTTGGGTACGATCAAGCAATATTTAACAGAGTTATGCCCCTTGAACTTTCAAAAATTTCAATAATTTGCAGTTTATATTCATTTTCTCTGCAGAAATTGCACATACTGAATGAAATTTTATAATCTGAGATTCATCATAAGAACTTTAGGTCAAGTTCTGTTTTGGGTATATGTCCCTTGGACTTGAAAGAAATTGCAATTACTGGTACATAGATTTCCATTTCATTCACAAATGAAGGGAAAGATTGCATTAACTGCTAATGTTATCTTAGAAGGAGGGGATATACTGGTACTCAAGGATAAGTAAATTCTACCCAGGAAATACAAGAATCCTACATGATAAAGGATAGAACATTACCAAGATAACAATACATATATAACTAGAGGCCCAGGGGCCTTATCACTTACCTGAGCACTGTGGCTAGGAAAAGAGCAAAAATCACTTTTCTCAAAAAAATGAATCGTTGAAAGTTCAAATCAAAACATCGGGCAATATCTAGGTCAACATTACAACTTTTCTGATCATATTACTTTTCAAATAGTACTTGAATGTCCTCAAAAATTTAAAATTTGCTGGACTACGTAATCAAGTACATAATACCTAGTAATATTTGCAATGTATACCTGTTAGGCTTTATAGCTTATATATAAGTTTTCATACGTACAGCAATAGTACAAAAATTGTTAGAAGCCCCGTCTTATAAAGGTTTTCCGAATAAGCAAGTTAAGTGAAACATGGACAAATTCCTTTCTCAGCTGTGTTCAACTTTAGTTTAATATGTAGTCCTGAGGGGTTCTATTTGCATGGCTGCAAGAGGGGGTATTGATTTATTAATATATGTGTATACAGCAAAACTCGGTTATAACGAAGTCGCTGGGACCTTTGAAATTACTTCGCTATATCCATAATTCGTAATAACCGTATAAGAAATTTATTAAATTTATATAGCTGGGGAATCAAAATGACTTCGCTATATTCCGTGAATTCGCAATATCCGTGTTCGTACTAAACAAGTTTTAATTACTGTAGTCAAACTGAATGTAATTTTCAAGTTGAGTAAACTCGAAGTTTCAAAACATATCATATAAAATACCAAGAACATCTTGATTTAAGGACAGATGATACAAAAAGAACAAGAGGCCCATGGGCCACCTCACTCACCTGAGGAACTTTAGTGATGTTCTTATATATATATATATATATATATATATATATATATATATATATATATATATATATATATATGATTTTATATATATTTATATTTATTTCTATGTAAAACATAGATTCCCTATTGTGGCCCCGCCCAACCCCTGCGGGTCATGATTTTTACAATTTAAATCTACACTACCCCAGGATGCTTCCACTTGAGTTTCAGCTTTTCTGGCCCAGTGGTTCTTGAGAAGATTTTTTAAGATTTTTCCTATATATTTCAATGTAAAACTTGGATTCCCTATTGTGGCCCGCCCTACCCTCAGGGGTCATGATTTTAACAAATTAAAATCTACACTACCCCAGGATGCTTCCATATAAGTTTCAGCTTTACAGGCCCAGAGGTTGTTGAGAACAAGATTTTTTAATGACCCCACCCTATTTTTGTCTTTTTTTGATTTTCTCTCCTTGAGGGGGACTTAGCCCTTCATTTTTAAAAACAATTTAAACTCCCCATCACCCAATGGTGATTTGTACCAAATTTGGTCAAAATTGGCCCAGTGGTTCTTGAGAAGAAGTTTTAAAATATGAAAAATTTACAGACGGATGGACGACAGACAAAAAGATGATCAGAAAAGCTCACTTGACCTTTCAGCTCAGGTGAGCTAAAAATGGATGCCTGGATTTGTATATATTTATGGGTTTATTTTTGCTGAAAATGATGCAATTAATTAATTTCTAAAACATAACAAGAGGCCCACGGGCCTTATAGGTCACCTGAGTATTGTGTAACAACTTTCAAACAATTAAATTTGGTTCGTGTTTTAAACCAGAGGCCATGAAATTCACAATTCACAATTTTGAAAGAGGCACCATTGCTTATCATAATTATTAACTTAGAATGCTTACTCTATTTACTTAATACCCAGAGGTAGATCAGAGTAACAAAGAGAAAATGCACTTCCACTTTATACCCAGTTGTGCACCTCACCCCAAAGGAACCACTGACCCAGGGGCCACATATTTCAAAATTTTGCAAATTTTATCATAGAATGGTTGATTAATACCAAAGAGCTGACTTCAAAGCATTAATTTATTTTCAGACTATGTAACACCCCCCCCCCCTCCCCCCCTTCTGACCCAGGGGGCATAAAAAACCACTTTGCTAGATGTAACTTTCTTCATCATCAATATATACACTTGGATCATTGGCATAATACCCAGAAGCAAAGGGAAATATTTTCAAAGAATTCAATGCATTTTTACTATATAATCAATAGAGCCCCGCTCTAACACCAGAACCCCTAACCCTGGGGCCATAAAATTCACAATTTTGGAAAAGGCACTCTTGCTCATCATAACTATGTACTTAGTTTATTTAATACCCAGAGGCAGAGAAGAAGATTTTCAAAGAATAAATGCATTTTCACTATATCATCAATAGAGCCCCGTCCTAACACCAGAACTCCTGACCCTGGGGCCATTAAATTCAAAATTTTTGGAAAGGCACTCTTAGTTAGTTTATTTAACACTCAGAAGCAGAGAAGATTTTCAAAGAATAAATGCATTTTCACAATATAATCAACAGAGCCCCGCCCTAACACCAGAACCCCGACCCTGGGGCCATAAAATTCACAATTTTGGAAAAGGCACTCTTGCTCATCATAACTATGTGCTTAGTTAGTTTATTTAATACCCAGAAGTAGAGAAGAAGATTTTCAAAGAATAAATGCATTTACACTATATAATCAATAGAGCCCCACCCTAACACCAGAACCCCTGACCCTGGGGCCATAAAATTCACAAATCTGGAAGAGGCACTCTTGCTCATCATAACTATGTACGTATTTAGTTTATTTAATACCCAGGCGCAGAAAAGAAGATTTTCAAAGAAATAATGCATTTTCACTATATAATCTATATAGCCCTGCCCTAGCACTAGAGCCCCTGACCCTGGGGCCATGAATTTCACAATATTGGTAGAGGACTCAATGCTCATTGCATTCTTGCAAACAGTTTGCCTGCTTGATGTCCAGGAGTAGAAAAGATTTTTAAAGATTGCAATAATTTTAGTGGTTTTGGCCCCACCCCTCAGGCCCCAGGGGGGCGGGGACCATGAAATTCACAATTTTTGTTCCCCTTCACCCATAGATGCTGTATACCGAATTTGGTTCAAATTGGTTCAGTGGTTTCAGAGAAGAAGCTGAAAATGTTCAAATGTTAACACACGACACAAGACGACGGACGAAAACGGATAGCAATAGGTCACCTGAGTTACTCAGGTAACCTAAAAAAAATTGTAAACCTTCTATGATGTTCAAAATTCTACCTAATCCTGTAACCATTCTTTTAGATGTACTGGGGGTATACAGATTTTTGTCACTTCAAGTCCCATCTCTGTGACATTCAATGAAAAATTTAAAATGATGCAGTTCAACTTGACTGTTTATTTTCCTGATACATGTATAATGATGGCTCAAGTTGTGTTATTTAGGTTTTTGATAAAAGTTTGTATCATCCATCTTTAACTTATTTTCAGTATCTGGAACAATACTGCCAAAATTTTTCCTAATTGACATTTTGCAGTATGAAAAATGTGGCCAAGTAACAAGTAAAGTAATTGCACAACTCAAAGTCCTGCAGTAGTGTGGAAAAAACCTCTATGTTAATTAGTACATGTATGCTGTACTATATTCTCAAACTGTAATCAAAATGCTCTCTTTCAAATGATACATTGTTTGTTAACAAAGATAACAAAATTTTCTGTTAAATAATTTAATTAATCTAAAAGTAAAAATTTAATTTTTAACAAGTTTCATTACATAGCTGTGTATTTATCAAATTTTCTGAAAATTTACCCCCTCCTCCCCAAAAATGTATAAATTCAAAATTTTGTAATTAGTTAATCCTAAAAATTATTCTTCTAACAGTAACAGAACAAATACATATATTTACAAGTTCATACAAAATACAGAGACAAAAATTTTTTCAACACCAAATTGCTTTCATACAAGATGTCATCAAAATCCAATTTGAATTCACAGACATGCAAGTTAAGAATTTTTTTTGTTATCCAGTTAGAGATGATAAAGTTTAATTCTCTACTAGAAGGAAACAAGAATTGATTTTAACATCAGATTCAAGTGATAATACACCATCACATGCACCTAGCTGAGATGGAAAGAGTTGGTCCTTTCTGCATGACTAGTACTACTTTTAATTTTGATTTACTATATGATTTAGGAAAAAAGACTACTGTGTTGAGGACTAAATCAATGTCTCGAAGATAACTTTCAAGTAGAGGTTCTAATCTGTGTTTCTTTATCAATTTTTACAAGGAAATACATGCAAGTTAACTTAGTGTCAGCAGTTAAAAGATGCTCAGTAGAAATGTGTTATCTCTGCTCTATGAACAACAGTTGAACAAAAAAAAATACTGTAACAAAAATTAAACAAAAAAACAAGTACATGTATGTTTTATCTCTATATTATAATGTTAAAAATTTTCTAATTAAGTAATTCATTTGATATATCGAAACACTGTGAAAATTGAATACTGTATACAGGGAAATTTTCGCCCCCATTTTATTTTCGCCCCTTTCGCCCTATCCTTGATTGGGCGAATTTTAAACAGGGGGAATTCAAATAACACATCATAATTTCTTAAACAGAACTATGACTGGGCGAATTTAAAACGGGGCAAAATTGTTTACAAGCTCTAAAGGGCGAAAATAACACGGGGCGAAAATAACCCTGTATACAGTACATCACAAAAGATACAACAGTATCACATCAATAATTAATAAGGAAATACATGTAGTTGCATCACAGCAATATAATTAACTAAGTCTACACAGTACATAACTAATGGCACTAACAGGAACCTTAATTACCTCAAACAAAAACACACTGGTCCAAAATGAATCTCTTATCTGACAGATGAATAATGGAAGATCTGTATTCCAAGAAATAATATCAAATGAACATGTACCAGGTACAAGTGACATCTAAAAGAGATACCCGAAATTATCAAAATGATGCACGCTGCCTGAGCAAACACAATCTGAATTTGGTTCAGATTTATTGTTTTTCCCTAAATGAAATGTAAAAGAAAAAACACCTATATTCACTTGAAAATGAATAAATCATGCACCAAACTAAAATATAAACATTTTTTTTCATTTATGATTTGTGAAAGTATTTGAAGTGTATTGTAGACATTGAATTAATATTAATGCTAGTGATATATTATGTGAAGGGTATAATTTCACAAAATCTTCCTTCAAGACTTAATTGTCATCTAAATCATACAGAGATCAATCATCAGTTGGATTTAATAATAATGACCTCTTTAAAAAAATATTCGCCACTATCTAAATTTGTGGGTTTACTGAGAGTACGAGCATAGCGAAATTTCACACCACAACTTATATATTCCTCCGAAACAGTATGTAGAATGCATGGTGAATATGAAGAAAAAATGCACAAAGCAGACATTTACACAAACACAGGAAGACGCAGCTAATAGACTCTGATTACACATAACAAATATTACTTCTCTGAAGTACCAAATCAGCAAATTACTAACAAATATTGCTCTAAACCAATGCTGTTATAACTATATATTTACAATGTTGATTCAATATATACACAGAACGAACATTTGCCCCAAATAATACATTGCACTCCATCATTCAATCAATTAAATTTGATTAGCATTAAAAGCTCTTAGAGTAACTAATTTTATTTGCTGAAAATGCATATAAACAAAAATATATAAATAAGAAATACTAAACATATTATACTAGACTACAGTTTGGTATTTCCATATTCATTTGGCACTGAGTCACTGGGTTCTTTGTGATTTGTTTCAGCATTGTTGGAAGTGGAGCCTGTAGCATTATTAGCGGCAGGATTTTTATCAGGAACTGAAGCACTATCTTTTTTAGCCTCTTTTAAGTCTGCACCTCCACAGACGACTACCCCCTTAAAATCTAGAGGAGGGGCCTCACTGCTCTTATCCATGCAGTCTCGGATGTGCTCTGGAATGCAGCTTAAAAACTTCTCATGATTAGCAACTGTGGCAAGGACTCCCCCTGTGTTTTTTCTCTGGACATCAGCACTGTAGTTCATCCTGATGCCGTGAAAATCTGTAAGGGTGCCCCCAACAGCATGTAAAATGGCCTCTGGGGCACAAGTGTCCCATTTCTTACATCCCTTGCTGGCAAATACATAAGCATGTACCTTTCCTTCAATTAGTAAAAGAACCTGGAAAACAAAAGAATGTTTCCCTTTATTTCTTTAAATTTCTGGGTTAAATATTTTATTTACCAATAATTGCACATTGAAAGAAACTTTCTTTGTGATGATAAAGTTGAAAAAAAAAATGCAGCTTAAGACACCATTAGATATGAAGAGGAAAGTCAAACAAAATGCTCTTTTTTTCAATTGACCCATTTTACACCTATAAATCTTGAGAGAGAAAAAAAGCATCACAAAAAATGTAAATGTTCTTCATCATGAAAATGTCATTAAAATCCAGCATCTGAAGCAAGATTGAGAGTTTTCATCCCTTGATAACCATTGCAACTTTGTTTTATATAAGCCCTTTTCTTGGTGATAGACCTCACCCATAACTTTTACCTAATAAACTTATATAAACCTGAAGTCAAATCTGATAAAATCAGTTCTTTGATCCCCACCTTTATTTTTTTTCTTATTGTCGCTACAGAAGCGGATCAAGGATTTGAATTTAATTAGACTGACCTTATGACCTGCCCCTCCTACCCTTAGTATCCTATCTTATACTGACCTTATGAACTGCCCCTCCTTCTCTAACTACCTTATAAACCTGCACCAAAAACTTTAACCTGTAACCCGGGACCTGACCTGCCCCTCCTACTCTATCTCATACTAACCTTATGACCTGCCCCTCCTACTCTAACTATCTTATACCAACCTTATGACCTGCCCCAAAAACTTTACTCTAACTACCTTATACTAACCTTATGACCTGCCCCTCTAATCCTATCTTATACCAACCTTATGACCTGCCCCTCCTACCCTTAGTACCCTACCTTATACTAACCTTATGATCTGCCCCTCTTACCCTATCTTATACTAACCTTAAGACCTGCCCCTCTTACCCTAACTATCTTATACTGACCTTATGACCTGCCCCTCCTACCCTTAGTACCCTATCTTATACCAACCTTATGACCTGCCCCTCTTACCCTATCTTATACTAACCTTATGACCTGCCCCTCTTACCCTATCTTATACTAACCTTAAGACCTGCCCCTCTTACCCTAACTATCTTACACTGACCTTATGACCTGCCCCTCCTACCCTTAGTACCCTATCTTATACTGACCTTATGACCTGCCCCTCCTACCCTAAATACCCTATCTTATACTAACCTTATGACCTGCCCCTCCTACTCTAACTAAGACCGCGGAACAACTGGCAAAATTGGAAATATACAGCTTACATCATTTCTATCTGTTACATTCAAAACATTCAGTGATAGACAATGAAATGGGCGGGTACAACTCGCAAGGACGTGGGGAAAACATCGGATTGAAATTGCAGATCGAAATTCATTTTCAATCCACCTCAGCTATGCTAGAAGGCACATTATTACTGATTGACCCGGTCAGAAGACAAATAATTTCAATTTTGGTAAAGTTTGAATTTTTTTGTCCAATGTTTTAAATAAATTAATATTTAAGGGACAAATATTTCATTTCTGTTTGGTAAATATATGAATATCTTTGTGTGGGGGGGGGGGGGATTTAATTTTTAATTAAAGTTGTCCAACAGTTTTCAGTGAGAATAAGTATAAAACTCATGCACTCTTATAATCCTAGAAATAAAATATATTGTCATGTTAAGCCATGACCTGACTCGACAAATTTTACCCTCCCCCCCCATTCTAGAATCAAATATCTCCTGAAAAATAGTCTTTGTCTTCTATGATTTTTTGCGTTCTTAAAATTATAAGCTAAAACTCATATTAATGTGAACTTCAAACAATATGTATTTGGGAGTTGAAATTAGTTGATTTTTAGATCATGCATTCACTCTTTGCCTTGAAAACAGCTCAGATGGATTGAAAATGAATTTCAATCCGATGTTTTCCCCACGTCCGCGTCGAATTGTACCCGCCCATTTCACTGTCTATCACTGAATGTTTTGATTGTAAGAGATAGAAATGACGTAAGCTGTATATTTCCAATTTTGCCAGTTAATGTTCCGAGGTCTTATCTTATACCAACCTTATGACCTGAACCACTTACCCTATCTTACACTGACCTTATGACCTGCCCCTCCTACCCTAACTATCTTACACTGACCTTATGACCTGCCCCTCCTACCTTAGTACCCTATCTTATACTGACCTTATGACCTGTCCCTCTTATCCTATCTTACACCAACCTTATGACCTGCTTCTTACCCTATCTTAAACTAACCTTATGACCTGCCCCTCCTACTCTATATCATACTGACCTTATAACCTGGCCCTCCTATCCTTTGTACCCTATCTTATACTGACCTTATGACCTGCCCCTCCTACCCTTCGTACCCTATCTTATACTGACCTTATGACCTGCCCCTCCTACTCTAACTATCTCGTCTGGATTACAGGACTCCACAGCTTCTGTCACCATTCTGTCGGAGTGAGATCTGCTGGTGGTTATAATGATCTTATTTGCTGGGGGTGTCTCTCTCTCAAAGCCAAATGAACCTGTTACCATGGTAAAATATATGTTTTAAGATAACAAACTCACAATGACATATGTTTTAGTAAGACAACTTTGCCAATTGAAATATTTGGTAGTGTGTATCTTGAGAAGAAATGTCAAACATGTAAGTTTGGTTTGGGTAGAATTTATGGATACTTTGGAAAAGTTTTGAAAGAAAATTCTAACTATTCAGTAATAATTCAGTATATTATTCTGAAAATGTAGATCAGACGCATGTCTGATATTGCAAGATGCCTCCCAAGATGCATCATCAATGCAAGTTAAGTCCAGGTAGGGTTTATAGTTACATGTACTTAAGAATGAACTTGCACCTAAAAATCTAAATTGGAACACCAATGAAAGTAGTAATACAAGTGTTCATTTTGACTTGTAGAAAACTTCTCATTATACAGTATTCCCTGTCTTAAACAATCTTTTTGTTATGTACAATACCTACCTAATCCAATTACTCCCCAGATACATCTGCCTAAGGGAAGTCCAGGTTTGTCAAAGTTAAACCAGGGCTGATGTATGACCCCTGCCACTGCATTCCCTTTGACACTAATACCAATCAACACTGTCACATGGTCTAGATAGCCTTCAAAGGAAATATAAAATCAGCATACTGGTAATTTATTAGACAAATATTACTCTCCACATCAGTCCCTAGTGTTAGTTAAATACTTTGCAATTAATACCATTTTTAAGGTCAATGTGATGATTTAGCCTTAGTAAAATAAACACTGAGCCCAAAGGGCTCACTAGAATTTTGTACTTCTAGGGTAGCTAAATCATCCTTTTGACCTCAAAAAAAAGAATGAAGCTAGATTAAATTATATGTAACTAGTTGAATTTTATTTTGAATTTGTTGACTTATTATTGGTAAGATGTAGTTAAAAAAAAGATAAATTCATCATCTGTAAGTTGGGTGCAGATGAAATGACTTTTCATAAATAACTTAAGTACATTATAGACACAATTGAATATTTTTTGCCATATATTTTCAGTACATTTGTTAAGATAAAAATATATAGAATACATTCTTAGAAACTGAGCTACCGGGTAAATGCATGTTTCAGAAAAGTGATGTCTAGGTCAAAGGAAAGATCAAGGTAAAAAATGTTGATGTTGTTTAATAGCTCTCCATTATTTATCAGCATGCACAGTTTGAAATTTCTTGCCCTGTTCACTAAGTGACATTATACCCTTGTCATATTCATGGTAGCATAAAATAGTGATACACACATCAAGGATCAAAGTACTGAGACAGTACTGAAAGACGGGGTCAAAATAATCTTTGTGCTAAATTTCACAAATGTGATTTTTTTTTTTTCGAGTTTTAATAACTTAATTTTTCATTAACATACAAAAAACAAACGGTGAATAATATATATTCACATTTTTCATTTAATTTGAAGTAGAAATTCTAAAAATTGCTCAGTCTGGAAACCTTTCTGAACTGCTCCGAATTCCACGTACGAATTAATATATCATCCGGAAGTAAACAATGGATGATGCTACGCAGTCATAATAATACGCAGGATAGTACTTTGTTTATCGTGTGATTTACAATTAAAATCTTCAGTTTTAAATTATCAAAGTACTTTATTAGTTTGAGTTAGAAATAGGTTCATATGACTTTCTTCAGTTTGATACAGAATGTTTATGTTTTGATCAAAACAATTTATGCACTCTTTCATATGCGTAGATTTAATTCATGTGTTATCACCACGGCTTCCGTTTTGAGGCCTCTGACAGTAAAGTAAAAGACGGGGTCACGTGACCCCGTCTAAAAAACGAGCTACTCTTACATCACTGAACTCCTACTTACCTTGAGTGAATTCAGCTGTTCCATCCAGTGGATCCACCCATATTACAACCTGTATAAAAAATCACTTTACAGCTTTTCTTTTAAAATATATATTTAGATATGAAATATCTCAGAACTTTTTAATCAAGGAAACTTAGCTAAAAGTGTGTTTCTTTTTCTTGTCTGCAATCTATTCACAGGTAAACAAATATATTTACACTCTGGTGCTAAATGGAACAGCGTTATCGCAGCATGGTGACCTAATTGGTTTCTCTATAGAGAAACGATTGGTCATATTTATTAGCTGCTTTGTAGAATAGAAATAAAGTCCTTGTTGTCGTGAATGATGCAGAATAACCTCCTCGGTCTCGAAATGTTGTTTTAAATATAAAAGCCTCGGCTAACGCCTTGGCTTTTATCTTTCAAAGTTGGACATTTTTTTAGACAGAGGAGGTTATTATCACAATGTTAAAAAATATGTGCAAAATGTTTTGGAGAATTATACAGAAATTTGGCATAGATTCATTTGGATATGACATGAAGTTGATTTGTGATCAAATCTACTATAACACCCTTTAGGAGTTATAAGCTTTGATCATGTGACCAACTTCATATCATATCCCAATGAAACTCTAAAAATTATAATGTATCTTATTTCTTAAAGAAATATTCAACAGAGTTAATAGGTTTGACATTTAGTAAGAAAATAATTAATTTTTTAAAAAATTCATGAGAAAAATATCTTACATCTTCATCTTTGGTTTCTTTGAGGTATTCTGGACATGTGTGTTTCAACACTTCTGCATCAAATCCTTGTTCTATGAAATCTTTTGGAATCTTCTCTTGGGGATCAAGTTGCTAAAAATACCAAATCAAAAGTTATACAATGTATGCAGATAGATAGATACATATATACAAGCCATTCAATCTTCATTATCTTGAACAGAAATATCTTGGATCCCTCAGACAAGTCAAAGCTATAGTTGAAAATCACAAGCAATTTCTTGGAAAAGGAAAAATATCAATAAGATTATAAGCTGAATCTAGGTTAAAAATGAACAATGATTTAATTATTTATTTACTATCACTGAGGTCACTATACTTTAAATGTGTTATATTAAAGCCATATATGGCGTATTTGAGCTAAAAAATACAAATACGAGATCAAGTTTAGAATTACATGATATTTGCTATATTTACGTTCAAATTTAATTTTTTGCCGATTTTGAACTTAGTTATCCCCTCGTTTCTATAGTTAAGTTGACTTTAAACTGTGTCTTGTATTTAATTCCGAGTCGGAAATAAATCGGTTATTGTTTTAAATCTTGGATATCTAAGAAAAGCGATCGATTTAAATTGTGTAATTTACAGGAAAGTCCTATCTTTATATTAAGTATCAAAACAAATAGAAAGATCTTTTTAATTTTAGTTAGTCTGAACTTATCAAAAATACGCCATATATGACTTTAATGGTGTGTGATATTTTGCGGAAATTGATTTTTGAGCAAGTTTGTGAAGATTTGATTTAGCACATTTCCTATATGTTTATGTGCAAGACATTTAGCAGTGTACTTGAATTAGCAGAAATTACTTTCCACAAATGGTGCTAAAAAGAATACACAGCTAAATGTAAAATGTTTACAGTAATTAATTGAAAATTGTCTTTACACAGAATATTACAATAAGAAGAAAGCCCAACATAAAGAAGAGGCATCTGGTGCACATTATAAGGAAGTTCAAAACATTTACAGATACTTGATACAGTTATGTGCTACTTAACTTGTACCAGTATAGGTCTTAGTCAGAGGACTATAAAGACTATATATGGCAACAAGGGACTTAACTCTTAAAATAAAACACCATTAAAGGAAAATAACATGCTTCATAATTTCGAAAGAAAAAAATGAGATGGTAGAATCAGTAAATAATTTACCCATAAGTATATGGACCTGCTTATAACTAAGCTAAATGAAGAGTATTAATTTGTTGGAATTTAAATGAATTGGTTTTTAGTTTTGAAGTTGGCAGGCATGCACATAAACAATCTACATACCAACTTCTGGGCAATATTAAAACTTTCCAGAATCTTGGGTGGGGATCAATGGCGAACACAAGGTGTTGTCAAACACCAAACTCTGATTTATTTTTATAGTTATCACACGTACTTCTTAACATTTCTTCCTATGACAAAGAAATTACAAAAGGCTGCACCTACAGACATATTACTGGCCTTGGGAAACTAGAATCTTGCTAACCCCTTAATGATATACTGTATAAATACTTTTTTCCATGTAGTATTAATTTACACTATGTACCCAGTCACAAATTTTCTGCGGAAATTTGTCCAAGTGTACTTAATATAATTGTATGGCATATAGTGACAATCTAAGAAATCCGCATAATTTTCAACCCATGGATTAAACGGAAATTGAGATTCTGTAGAATTATGACCCCGTGGAAAAAAGTATGTCTACATTACTTTGACTTTATATTTAGTATCTTTTGTTGAAATTGACACAGTAAATATCTCCCTAGTTCACAATAAATTCGACAGAGATACTGATCTTTAAGAAGTAATCTCCCTTTTAAATTGAAAGCATTATCTTTCAAGTGTAAATAATTAAATCCTGTTGTTTTAATATACCTTGTAGTACCTACCTCTTCACCAAATATGGCAACATTTGGGAATTGTTTGTGCAGTGAGGCCACAATACATCTCTGGGCAGATCTGTCCGCTTCTGTCTGAAGATCATTTTTACCCTAAAAAGGGAAAATATAGATATATGCTTTGACTCAAATGTTTATCTAAGGTGTAAGAAGTAGTAACCAATCCTCTTGTATGAATTATAAAATAAAATATGTTAAAAACAATATTCATTCCATAGCAAAAAGAGTTGCCCTATTCATATTATAATACCCCATATGATGAATATAAGTTAATTTTCTAACTATAAATTCCATGTTTTGTCGGAAACAACTAATTTCAATCTCTAAACATAACCATGGTAACTCATTTTAATCTGTGTCTTTTAAAAATGTGCCAACTCTCTCTCATTTCATTTTGATGACCAATGGACAGTCAACAGGTGTGAGGGCAAACAAATGCTATACATGTAGTATAATATCCATGTTTTTCCCTCTATAATTTTATAAAAGTAATTTTGTCTCATTCCTCAGTTTTAGTAAAGGGTTGTCAAAATTTGAAACTGATGATCAAATATTTTAAAACTCCATCATTCTCTACACTTAACACCTATAAACATTAAAATGGAGGATAAGGCAATGATTGCCAATGAAATTTCCATTTCCAATTTTTATTTTTTATAAACTGCAGCATATGTACTAGTTAGGGCCGGTACACACAGTAATAAGTCTTAATGTATTAAGAAATAGAGCAGTGTTCTATTCCTAAGTCAGACTTGTAATCTTGGCTTGAAAAACGGTGTATGTATGGTAAGGCTAGAACCTAAGTTCCATGCCTTATAAGGCAAGCCGTACCATGTTATGGCCCTTAATTATACTCTAAATAGTCTATCAAAGTCATTCATTCATTCATTTATTCTCTCAAAAAACACTATACATGGTACAAGAGGTACATATATACATATTTACAATAATTATGGACGAGCGGAAATTACAGGAGGACAGACAGAGTCAAAAATTTTTGTAATAAATATACACAATTGTTGTAAAAATTATGGATCTGTACTTGTCATCAAGTTACAAAATTTTATTATATTTGGATGTACATAGTATTTCTGCAACAAAAAATCTTTTCAGATACTACATAATGCATTACATTCCAGTAAATAATGAAATTTCCATTTCCTTTTTATTATTACATAAATTGCACTCTTTCATTTCTTTCAACATTATTCCATCTACCCATCTCTATTGAAGACGATGGTTACTTGTCCTGAATTTTGAAAAGATATTTCTCAATTTTCAAGTGAAATCACTTACACTGTACAACTTCCCAAGAATACACTGCCTTAGTCATAGTGATTAATTACATTCGAAACGAATAATATTAAAATTGGTTCAATCTTTTTGTATCTCTATTCTCCAGCTGAATCAATTACACATTTGTTTTAAACATAGAATTGTTTAAAGAGCTATCCTAATATATAAGTGTTGAATTAATTACTGATAAAATACGTTTGTTTATTCTGCATAATCATGATAATGTAAGTTCAAAAACTGGAATGAATTCATAAATCATACATGTAACATGGTCTACTTGTTACACTCTAAAAGTTATACAAGGTAATTTATAATGTTGTTGTTCACAAGAAGATTTCTATAATACGAAAAGGAATAATATTATATTTTTGAAATCATTCTATTTTGTCACCTTTTAAGATAGGTGATGTAATCTACCATCTGACTCTGCACATTCTTATGAGTGATATCAAACTTGTGCAGTCAAACTTGCCATCAGAACTATCTCAATGTTCTAATTTATGCCCTGTTGGCTGTTCACAATAATGTAAACTAACCTAAGGCAAATTAAATTGTGTTCACATGACAGTTAATTCAGGGTAAACTTATGTGCATTAATTAGAACACTGTAGAATTTTAGTTCTATAGTAAGGCTATTTTCAAATCACCCATCTTTAATATGTAGAGCAGACCCATTTGACAAAACTGCTTAAATTTTTGTGATAACATATTTTTTCTCTTTTTTTTTCACTCAAAAATAGCATAAATACCTATATCTGACCATGGATATGTGGCATTTGACTTAATTTTTTCATTTCTCATGCATCAGAATTTAATTTTCACTTAATTCACACTAGATTAATTCGAATTAAACAAATTCCCTTTAAATTCTCAGTGTGAACACTTTTCAAACTCAATTTGTAGTAACTTACATTTAATTCAAATTGAACTCTATATAAATAAGGCATTAAATGTTGTATCTTATTCTCTTCTTTGAACTTGTAACAGCATTATATACACATAAACTTTGAGTATCACTGTCATCTTTTTAAAATAAATAGCTGATATCAAAACTCAAATACGCATTACTCCGATACTGCTTACTTAAAGATAATTCCAGTGATATATATAATTAATTTTATTTGGAGATTGTCTTTAAATACTGCAGTTTAATCATTATATATGCTGCATATACTGATAATAAGACTGTTCTAAATGAAAGTAGAAGACTGTCCTAAACATGTCTTAAATGTCTTGTTATAATTTACTTTTTTAAAAAATGCAAGTAAAATAATTTTCTTGAAATGTGAAGCTTACAACAGTGAATTCCTTATATACACTAACAGTCATTTAAACTTATATTAAACTGTTTTCTTCCCAAATCTGATGTGGCATTTCAGCACACTGCACTTGACCAATAGCAGTTACTTTTAATCCTAAAACATCGAATTTGGTTTTTATTTTACGGTAAAATGACACTTAGATACAGGGAAGATCCCTAACATTTTATAAAATTAATTACAATTTTTTCTATAGATATTGAAAACATGTCTGAACACACACCTTACACTTCTTTCATATAACACTGCTTGTAACGAGCAAATATTACAAAACTTACCTTTTCAACAATTCCCAGATCTCCTTTAGTTAGGACATTTCTTATGATGTTGGCAGCGCGATTTGAAACTGCCACAGAGGCGGACAAAACTCGCATCACAAGAGAAGGATTGGAAGCCATGTTTGTCAGTGTAAACAACTATTGATTTGTCGTAAACACGGCCTGTGTCAAAAGAACTTATAAAAAGTAAAATAGGCAAAGAAATCAATTTAGGTTGTATGCTTTAAACAGATTCCGGTTGAATTTATGTGAAGAAACAAATATTACGAGGGTTTTATATATATATACTACTTTTTACGACATACCGAAAGTGCGCATGTCTCAATATTTGTGACACGACTCCCAAATCCACGCAATGAAATACTTGAAAGTCTCTGTAAAATAATCCTTTTGATATGAATTAAGTAGGTTTGTTGATTAATGAATATGTGGTCATTTTTTTCTCGAGACCCGGCCAAAGACTTTCATTATGATATAGGAGAAAAGATAACTGGCCTTGAAAACAAGTCGATTTGGGCTGTTCATCATGGCAAAAAGAAGGTAAATCATGTTCAACAGTGATCAGTGTGTGTATCTGGTATATTTTAAATATTACCATGCATGATGTGATGTGAATGTATCTGTTCAGTAATGATATCTCTGAGTACACGTTATGTAATGTAGATTCCTATCACATGTTATAGGCCTATGTAATATATTCCACTAGAACTTGAAAGTTCAGGTTATTTATTCTCAAAACGACCCTAATTCCTCATCTACCCTTATTCTCAATGAGATGTCGTAGGGACAAAATATTTTGGTCTGGTGTCCCTGGACAGCTCAGTGTCACACCATTAAGTTATTCAGATTTTCTTGAAGATGCCCCCACTTTGACCCCTTATTTCAATCAATTCGGGCTAAAATGATTTAGCAGCCCACTTCAGCTTTTTCCTTTGGACATCCCTTTAAGTCTCTATCACTATAAAACTTTTGTTTCTTACCTTTAAAAGGGTTAAATTCAACAAAATATAAAGTTGTTGATTTTGCATAGAAATATCCCATTTGTTTAAACCTCCGATGCTGAAGAGTTTTGCAATAGTCTGCTTCAAATACGTCCAACTATGGTTCATTTCTATTGGTAGTAGTAGTAGAACAAAGTCTTTTTTTGAGTCTTTACACTTATAAAATACAAATAAAGAAAACGAAGAATTCCTTTTTACCTGTTTTCCTTACCATGCTTACTAAAACCCTGTAAGGTTCATGGTACTTTAACTGATTTAAGTTTCCCGTCCCTTTTACTTTCCATAATGCATATCCCTACTGCTTTGCTGATCCTCTAACTCTTTAACATTCTTACATAACATTGCATTGTTACCTTTGCTCCTCCATCCTGCTGCCTTGATTTCACGTTATCTTTTGTTGTCGCCCTTGCATTGTAAACCCAATATTCTCATTCCCCTGCTTTGTCTATTTTTCTCTCTCTTTTTCTTTTTTTTTTTGTCCTGACAATATAAGGGACTAAGAAGAAAAAGTGCAAGTAAACTATTATAGTACACATTAATGTTATCCAACTTCTTTTGGAACTAGATATTTTGCCTAAGTTGTGAATATTGAAATACATTTTTTAAAATTGATAACTGATAAACCAAACTCTTTGTTCTTCTAGGTTTGTGCATTTTAATTGTTGTTGTAAGCATAAGTAACAGTTGTAGTTACATTATAACCTTACCTTTATTCCTCTGCCACTGCAAAATCTCAAATAGATTCAAGTTAAAACTGAATTTAAAAAAAAAAACAAAACCTTGGATGGTTTAATTCATGTGTTTTTTGTTTTTCATTCATGCTTTAACATTTTTAGGGAACAGGAGAACCTGTCACCATATTTGCTTTTGATGTGAAATCAAGCAGTGAATCACAAGTAAGTATAGCCCTGCAGATTTTTTTCAGTAATTAGTCTCTGTATAGTTCTTAAAAGAAGGGAAGACATTTTATTCACATTTCATTCCAAGAATTTAAATGTGCATAAAAACAATGTACCGTATATACCCGCCTATAAGTCGTTTTTTTTGAGAGTTAAATTTTAGTCCAAAAGTCTATGTCCGACTTATAGGCGAGTCATAAAAGATGGTATTTTTCTGGACCACGAAATGTAATATATAAATATAGCCCTTTGATGAGGTCAATCCATAGATATATCGACTTCACAGAGAAGCATATCGACCAAGCACGAAGTGCGAGGTCGACATGCTTTTCTGTGAAGTCGATATATCTATGGATTGACCGAATTAAAGGGCTACATTTGTTATATTATTTTTGACAGGGGTTGATTAAAAACAATTTGAAAAAATGGTAACACACCACAATTAAGTTTTCTCACTTAAACACTTAGAGACAAGAAATCAAAATAAATTAAGTTGTTTAATATGACTGTGTTAAACTTTCCTTGACATTTTTAGATTTTAACATAATTTAGAGGATTTAATAATTGAAAATACTACAAATGTACATCTTTTTGATTATGTTTTGTATCAATTTTGACAAAGATATTCAATATGTTGTAATATTAAGTAGTTCCTAATTCAGGCCATTGTTACATCTTATGAGTCGCAGAACATTACAAATTTAAATACAAGTTGAAGTATATTTTTTCAGAAACATCAAGTCATATACTGTATTAGCTATAATTATGAAATCTTTCCTATTAATTTTTGTTTTACAGAAAATTACCTCTATTTCAGAAAACATCAAGTCAATATGCATTTTAGATTCTATAAATAGTAACTCAAGTCTATATGCTGTTATATACTAAATCATGTGACCAAGTTTAATCCAGTCAGAGAGCTTGGAATATATGATTAAAATAATATTATTCTATGAATGTTTTCAACAGTTATTGGTGAATAAAGTCTGGATTTATCATATCATGTTAGTATTCTAAGATTAAACATTAATTACATGTTTTTATATAGTACATGTACTTAAAAATTTTATTTGTTAATCTTAAGAGGGCATTATCTATTTTGATCAATAATTTAAAGGTAAAAATATTACCTGGTAATTGAAACCAGGTTAAAATATCAGATCATTCATTTGAAATTGTCATCTGTTTCTGGCAAAAAGTTGTACCGACTTATAAGTGGGCCAATGGCGAATTCCATCAAAATATCCTAAAAAAATACAACGGACTTATAGGCGAGTATATATGGTAAGTGTTTTATGGGGGAAAAATGGACATTTATTGGGATCGCAGTGCAAAGTACACTTTGTAAAACAAAACAAAACAAGATAATAATTTTTTTTCCGTTTTTTTCTGATGCTACAACAAACACAGAGTAAATATATTTTTACTACTGATTTTGTATTTTTATTAGGTACAGGTGGCTAAAGGGGCATTTAAGAGGATCAAAACTCTCAGACATCCAAACATAGTATCTTTCTTGGATGGAGTTGAGGTTTGTTACAATTATTACAGTGCTGTGTATGTTATTGCATGTCTCATGTAACTTGTCTTTGAAATTGGATTTGGATACATACCAGAAATGAATAACAAGAATATGAAATCAGTGCTTTTTTTCCCAACAGACAGATAAAGTAATCTACTTTGCCACAGAAGCAGTTTTACCCCTTGAAAATTATCTAAATGAGAGTGAAGAAAATCGGAACCTAATGGCAATATCATGGGGCATCCATCAAGTGGCTGTAAGTATGAAAATTAATTATAAGAATGAGTGTGTAATTTATAAAACAGACCCAGTGTTTAGTTTATGATTTCCATTTTTCAGAAAGGTTTGTCATTCCTCATCAATGATTGTAACCTGATCCACAACAATGTGTGTCTGTCCTCTGTGTTTGTCAATCAGGCAGGGGAGTGGAAACTAGGGGGTGTGGACTATATGTACCCTGCTCAGGGGCAGGACAGTGTGCCTCCTGTTAAAATCCTCCCCTTGTTGGACAGATATGATCCCCCAGAAAAGTTAGAAAACAGAAGAGGTGCAAGAACAGAGAAATGGTAATGAAGTTCTTATCAATCTTAGATTAGATTAATTACATTGTAATTATGAAATGACATTCTGTCAACATTTATTGCCACATTCAATACTTCTCAATCCCAAATGATGAATTTTACTTCATTTTATTAAAGAGAATAAATTTTGATGATACTGACTAACTGTAGATCTTATTTCATGAGCATCCAGTTTAATTTTGATTGAAAAATTGATCTTTCAGCTTTCTTGCGATAAATGTTCTCATCAAGTGCACTTGAATTACATTAAGTGTCTGAGAGTTTTTGAAATAGGTTATTTTTAAATTACATGCAGGTCAACAGATATGTGGGGTCTGGGTTGCTTGATATGGGAGGTGTTTAATGGCCCACTGTCTCAGACTAGTGCTCTCAAATCAGTGGGAAAGGTAAGGACATGGGTGTAAACAACAACTTGCTGCACAATGAATTTCATTTACCGGTATCTTATTTTATAGTGATGAAATAGTGTACCAAATCATTTTGCTTCTCCATAAGCTATGTTTGCTCCTTGCTATCATCTTTCAATAATGATAAAAAATTACATCATGAAAATGTTCAGCATGTAAATACTAATAATATAACATCAACATGGAAATATTATCTTCAGTTTAAAACTGTAGAACCATATCTTTATCAATGACTTTTGGTTTGATTTTTAGATTCCAAAATCTTTAGTGCCAAATTACTGTGAATTAGTTGGAGCCAATCCAAAGTCTCGTCCCAATCCTGCCAAATTCATAGAAAGCTGTAGAACTGGTCATGGGTTTATGCAGAACTCATTTGTCAAGACAATGCTCTTCTTGGATGAAATTCAGGTACTTTATATGGAAAATATTTTATTGTTCAAAATGAAGCATCATATTTAAAAATTTAAATTCCTATCAGATTACCTAAGATTAGACATGCTAGAGGCGAAAGATCTTGAAAATGTTCGGAAGTTTTTATTTATTTATTTATTTATTTTTTTTAGATCAAAGATCAGTCAGAGAAAACAAAGTTCTTTGCCAATCTAGCACCATCATTAGACGAATTTCCAAAAGCTTTCTGTAAAAATAAGATTCTGCCCCAGTTACTGAATGCATTTGAATACGGTGATGCTGGCTCCCACATTCTAGCTCCACTTTTCAAGGTGAGATTTTTTTTAAGTTGAGTAGAACACAAGTGTTGTATTTGTTTTAATTATTTGATGTATTTGAAATAAACTGCTTGTTTTTCTTGTCTTACAGATTGGAAAATTTCTGGATGCAGAGGAATACCAGAGTAGAATTGTTCCCTGTGTGGTCAAACTATTTACCTCTCCTGACAGAGCCACGAGAGTCAAACTTCTACAGCAGGTCTATATCAGCTCTGATGTGTAATTTTGATGAGAATCATATTTTTTTCTAATCTTTTCATCATTTATAATATGTCATTACAAAATATTTCAGCTCACTACATTGAATGATAATGTATAATATTTATGAAATTTGGTAAATTGGTACAGTGCACTTTGGAAGTTGTGTTTGAATCTGAACTACCTAAAGAAATTTACATGTCGTACTAATAATGAAATATAAATCTTGCAAAATATATAAAATTAAGTGTGAAAAAAAGAACTACGGTAAAATCTGTATGATAATATATACACCGGAAGAAAAAAATGTGTCGGAATAGATAGGGAGTTGGAATGCATATTAAAAAGAATATAGTATACTGCAAAATAAGAATTTGAATAAGATTTTGAATTCAGAGGGAAAGGGATTGCAAAGATTTATTAAACTTTACAATGTTTCCTTTTATACAAAAGTTTATTATAATGCTGACATGTTTAAATGTCTATGATATGTATAATAACTTTGCATTAAGTCTGTCTTTTTGCTAAGATCAGAATACCAGTAGGCCTAAATAGGAAAGAAATAAAAAGAATGCTATATGTCAGGATACCTGTCCACTTTTATTTTCTATTTTCACCTATTTTTATCTATTTTCACCTCTCTACTTTTTCTCCCTTGCTCCACCTCCTCCACTCTTTAACAGTGTTTAGTAGTTTACTACCTTTCTAAAATACTGGTACCATTTTGTAGATTGACACTTTTGTGGAGTACCTCCAGGCAGCCACTGTAAATGACAAAATTTTTCCTCACATTATCCATGGCTTTACAGACACAAACCCTGTGGTTAGAGAATCTACAATTAAGGTATGGCCGTAAGTGAGGTTTGAATATTATTTTTCTTTTACCTATTGCTTTTTCATTCAATAATCATTATAGCCAATTAGCTAGGGGGTTTCCACACTGTGGATTAAACCTACAATCCTCAGATTTAATATCCAATGCTCTAATTACTGAGGTAAAGGGTTCATTCATCAGTGAGTGTTAGAAGAGTGACCTTCTTATATACAGCACATTAACACTTTTAATTAACTCCCTTACTTAATATTTGAAGTATTTATTTAAAAAAAACTTTTATAACAATTTACATTTTTGTGTTACATATATAGTAACATATTATCAAGAAATATGAATGTAAATCTCACGTTTTATAATTTTATAGGCTATAGTTTTTATTGCCCCCAAACTGAACTACAAGAACTTAAATGAGGAGGTGATGAAACACTTTGCCAGACTACAGGCCAAAGATGATCAGGTAGGCAAAGACGTAACAGGCAATTTCTTCTAATTTTTTTCTGACAGCGGTATAATTGTACCAGTACACATTGATCATACTATTTAACTATGAGTGTGACTGATTGACAGGGAAAATTTAAACCTCCATGGCACATGATCCCACCTCTTGTATGTTTAAGAGCTCTGTATTTGCTGTGCTCTAAACTTGTATTATTGTATTATTGAGTACTGTTTGTCATTTTCATATTTTATGTATTAATTTACCAGTAACAGTCCTATGTATTTGTCTTTTTCAAACTTTAGGAAGTAAATTTATAAATAACATGATTATTGCAGGGTGGTATAAGGACAAACACAACAGTGTGTCTAGGGAAGATAGCATGTCATCTGAATCCACAAGTAAGTTACAATGTACCGGGGTAATGAAGGATTTGTTTAGAGCAAAGTGAATTTTTTTAATGGAGATTCATTTGTCAGTACACTGCTTCATAGAGTAATGAATATCTATATCAAAGCAGGAACATGTGTTGAAGATACAGTCAAACTTGTCTTAGCGGCCACCCGAAATCAACGGCCACTCGCGGTCAGCGGCCACTTTCAGTTCCCCCGACGATTTTTCCTATATATTCTAACTGGAATAAACGGCCACCTGTGTAACACGGCCAGCGGCCACCCATATTCTCACCCACATGCCCTATTGTCACTGTAATAGGCGGCCATTTCGTCACTTGCTGCGGTTCTATTATGTCTTTTAAACACATTCGCTTGGGTAATTATATCACAATAGCCAATTTAACCTAGCTATTAATGCAATTAAACAAATTACTATTAGATACACCGAACTCTATGTTTATGAAAAAATAAAAAAACCTGTTAGATCAATTTGTAATTATTTTTCAAGATCGCCGATTGAAAAATAAAAAGAATTTAGATACAATTGATATTTTCCTCTACCTAAAAAAATTGACACCTTTTAGATTTTGATTTCATGTAGAAGCCCTGATTGCCACTCTTGTGAAAACAAAGTGCTTCATGTGGCATGATTATCTCGTGAATTTCATGATCACTATCAACAGACCATTGATAGGGATTAGTCACGCTCTACTGCATATGACACCTGTGTTATGGAATGATTTTCAACTGCGTCAATACATATCTTTGGTCAACTGCTTAATTTTATTTGTGTGTCTGTGTATGTTACATAGAAATTCTGACAGCTTTATACACAATAAAATTTACCAGACTTTAAAAACTTCAGCAAGTAAGTTAATTGCCGATGAATAAATGGGGGGGGGGGGTGTTACACTGCTGACCATTTTTGAACATATGCAAGTGAAATTTTTATTGACATATTCTTACTTAAATATCTATGCTTTATTTTATTTACCATTAAACTGTATTTTTGTGTAATTTTTTTTCCTTTATAAAAAAGGATAATAGTCAGGCACTGTATGTATTACTAATATGTAGGAACAGAAACATGCACGAAACCTTAAAAATTTCTAATTCTTTAATAGTTTTTTGAATGAGCTTTAATTAATATATATAAAAATAAAAAGCCTTTGTTAAATTGACCTGATTTATTATTTGATTAATTAATTTAACTGTAATGTTCAATGTTGTTTATTCGTTGCCCGATTGTCTTTTTCGAGGGCAAACTGGAATAAGAGGCCACCTGTCTTAAGTGGCCAGTTTCCAGACTTCCCAAAGGTGGCCTCTTAAAACAAGTTTGACTGTACATAGGTTCACCAAAAAATATTATAAATGTATATTCCAATAAAGTAATATTTTTGACTCTAGGTGAGACAGAAGATGATATCCTCTGCCTTTCTGAGGGCCCTGAAGGATCCATTTCCCCCAGCCAGGCAGGCTGGAATCTTAGGCATGGCGTCCACCCAGAACTTCTTCACATTGAATGAAATAGCTCAGAGGTTATTACCAGCAATGTGTTCCATGACCAGAGACCCAGAAAAGGGGGTCAGAGATCAGGTACTAATCAATATTCTATACTTGTTTTGTCACTATTTCTTTTTCAGTCACCTTAAGATACCAAGCACATTGCTCGGCGCTGTTGCACAAGTGTACACATAAAGAGTTATATATAAAAAAAAATATTATTAAATTGATTACCCTCGTGATTCTATATGTGAAGGTGGAATAATTCTGTATAAATTGCACAATGAAAGGAAACAAGGAAAAATATTGATATAAGCATGTAGTAAGTATCTAAGAGTATGAATATTTTAAAATGAGTTTCATTTATCTTTCAGGCATTCAGGGGAATAAAATGCTTTGTAGAAAAGTTAGAAAAGGTTTCAGAAAATCCAGAGTTAGAAGCAGAGATGGGTAAATTTCATTCTATTAATTATTGAAATGTTTCAATGACATTTCTTTGAATAAACAATAAATTCAAATAATCAAGTGAAACATTTATGTAATCATGGTTAGGCCATAATAGAAATATTCCTAGATTCTCATCCCCGCCCGCCCCTATTTTATACCCCCGCCTAGATTTTTTAAATTTCTGTTTTTCTTTGTCTTAATTCTAATGGGGATTGGTATTCATCTTCCATTCTACTTTCGTTTTAAATCCCGTGAAAGTCGACATGATTTTGACAGCTGAAAAGACGGTAATTGCTGTAATACATGCGTATATATTTTAAACAGGGGTCATTGGTTGAAAAAGTTAGTGAAGATGTGAAGTAAGAGATAATTGAACCTTTACTATGACTTTTATTCGGGTGTTGTAGATAAAATTACACCGATTGACCAGGTCAATAAAAAATCTACAAAATTGAAAAAATATAAAATATAAAATAAAAGCCGCCCGCCCGCCTTGATTTTTAAAAAAATTCGGATGAGAATCTAGCAATTTATTTATTATGGCCTTAAGGTCACACGACACGTTCCTCAAAAATATATAATTTTTCCAAAGAATTTGTCATTGAAGTGTGGGTACTTAAACAAGTTTCCTCACAAAAAATTAGGGTACCTTACCAGGCATTTAGCCAAGATACCATAGGGTCATATTTCTTATATAGCCATTATGTGTAATCTTCTAAATGGCCTATAACACAATTTTTGGTGTACTTATATTTAAAAACATTTTGAAAACAATGTAGAAATCAGATGAGAATGACAAATATTAATAATTGTTGATATAATACCAAGACATACAAAACATATATTTGAGGAACGTGTCATCTGACCTTAAGAATATACAATAAACATAAAGCATTGTGTCTTTGAGTTTGAAATATTATATTTAGAAGCCTACATTTTGTCCATTTTCAGAGAAGGATGTTCTGTCTGGGGGTTCTACAGTCTCCAGCAGTGCTGCCAGCTGGGCGGGGTGGGCGGTGACAGGGGTGTCTTCCCTGACATCCAAACTGTACAAAAAGGACGGTACCAGACAGAAGGCAACTGGTAAGATGTCAATCAGACAGATATATATTGTTCTATCTCAGATGATTGTGTACTGATAGTGCTATTGTATTAATTTTTTGGTACCAATTCATATTGACAGAAAGTCACACTTGTCAACTGTATGTATAGTCTTACTTGAATTACTCTGCAGTGGTTACACATAAAAATTATCTTGAAAATATAGAGGTATAGTATTGGGAAAATAAAGTCACAAAGAATATTATAAATTTCATAACCGACTTATTTTAGAAGGAAAAATATTTACTAATATGTATATAGAAAAATAAAATTAAACTAGAACTGTCCAAATGGGACAAATCACCCCCAGCTGGGTTTTTCAGAAGTGCTAAATCGTGAATATTTTATGGATCTAAGAGAAGAGAGAAATGTTAAAACGTATTTAGTGCAAATGTAATTGCTCATTATATTTTTATGGCGTCGGGCTTGCCCAATCGTCATCTAGCGATCAGTCAGGTTTACGCGACCGCACGTGTCAGTGGATGCATCCGCAATAGAAAATAGCAACAGCTGTAAACCAATTTCTTTTAAAACGTTCACAATGAATAATAGCTTGAATATAAAATTAAATCAATTGTATCTTCAATTAATACTAAAACAACGATATTATGTTTAATTCTTACGCAAGAAAAACGTTATGGTTGTTGCGGATGAATTTCTACTGAGAGGGTGCGTCGAATGACATGAATCACATTTTGGGACCGATTACTGTAATACAAACAATCTTAAATACGGTAAAATAATTACAAAATAAACACGAATACAACAAGACTATAAAGATTGAATTTCTTAATCTTAGCTTTATTTTTACGATCTTCAATCCAATTTTAGCCGAACAACCTATGATATTGACCAGTAATGCCAGTATTACTGTATTTATTCATTTCCTCCATTTGTTTACCGCGCCTTATCGTAAGTCGATCGTACTTGTAACATTAGAGTCATGGTTGTAGTTAAGATGCAATCACTATACAACAGAACAACCCTCTGACAATGGCAATTAATTAAAATAAAATTTATGAAACCCTTCATATGTCTTCGATTGACTGAAAAGAACTTAGATTGATATAGAGGATAGACATTTCTGACGATGTCTGGTCAATTCGAACCCTGACTCATTCGGACCAGGACACAAGGCTATCAGGCCCTACACTGTATTTGTGTTCAGACTATTTTTTTAAATTTTATTATTATGTTACTGGAGTCACTCACTTGACCTATTTGCAGATCTTTTGAAATTGTTTTTCTTGTTCGACGCCATTGAAGCCTTTCAGGCTTTTGATTTATAAATGAAATGAAGGCGCAGCCTGATAAAGAAAATAGACTAAATATATGGTCCAGACACGAATTATGAACTTTTTCTGTCAGTGACCTTGAACTTGCATTAATGACCTTGGTTTAAAGTCATGACACAACCTCAGGTCATAAGCAATGTTTGTGTGAAGTAGTAGATTCAAGTTTTTCCATAATAAAGAAAGATATGGACCAGACACAAATTATAAAATCTTTCTTCCAGTGACCTTGAACTTCCCCAAATGACCTTGACCCAAGGTCATGACACATCCTTAGGTAATGAGCAATCTTTGTGTGAAATGAGAACTTACCAAGTTTATCCATAAGAAAGATATGGACCAGACACAAATTATAAAATCTTTCTTCCAGTGACCTTGAACTTCCCCAAATGACCTTGACCCAAGGTCATGACACATCCTTAGGTAATGAGCAATCTTTGTGTGAAATGAGAACTTACCAAGTTTATCCATAAGAAAGATATGGACCAGACACGAATTATGAAATTTTTCTTCCAGTGACCTTGAACTACCCAAAGTGACCTTGACCAAGGTCATGACAGATCCTTAGGTCAGGAGGAATCTTTGTGTGAAATGAGAACTTGCCAAGTTTATCCATAAGAAAGATACGGACCAGACACGAATTATGAAATTTTTCTTCCAGTGACCTTGAACTTCCCTAAATGACCTTGACCAAGGTCATGACACATCCTTAGGTCAGGAAAATCTTTGTGTGAAATGAGAACCTACCAAGTTTGTCCATAAGAAAGATATGGACAAGACACAAATTATGAAATTTTTCTTTCAGTGACCTTGAACTTTTCACATTTTCATCTTCTTCTCAAGAACCACTGGGCCAATTTAAACCAAACTTGCTACAAAGTATCCTTGGGTAAAGGGGATTCAATTTTGTTCAAATGAAGGGCCACGCCCTTCTCCAAGGGGAGATAATTATGAATTAGAGAAAAATTAATGCCGTTTTTAAAAAATCTTCTTCTCAAGAACCACAGGGCCACGAAAGATGAAACTCATGTGGAATCATCCTCAGTTGGTGTAGATTCAAGTTTGTTCATATCATGACCCCCGGGGGTAGGGTGGGGCCAAAATGGCCGATCAAAGTTTTACATAGGAAATATAGGAAAAATCTTGAAAAATCTTCTTCTCAAGAACCACTGGGCCAGGAAAGATGAAACTCATGTGGAATCATCCTCAGATAGTGTAGATTCAAATTTGTTCAAATCATGACCCCCCGGGGTAGGGTGGGGCCAAAATGGCCGATCAAAGTTTTACATAGGAAATATAGGAAAAATCTTGAAAAATCTTCTCCTCAAGAACCACTGGGCCAGGAAAGATGAAACTCATGTGGAATCATCCTCAGTTGGTGTAGATTCAAGTTTGTTCATATCATGACCCCCGGTGGTAGGGTGGGGCCAAAATGGCCGATCAAAGTTTTACATAGGAAATATAGGAAAAATCTTGAAAAATCTTCTTCTCAAGAACCACTGGGCCAGGAAAGATGAAACTCATGTGGAATTATCCTCAGATAGTGTAGATTCAAATTTGTTCAAATCATGACCCCCCGGGGTAGGGTGGGGCCAAAATGGCCGATCAAAGTTTTACAAAGGAATATATAAGAATTTTTTTTTTAAATCTTCTCCTCAAGAACCACTGGGCTAGGAAAGATGAAACTCATGTGGAATCATCCTCAGATAGTGTAGATTCAAGTTTGTTCATATCATGACCCCCGGGGGTAGGGTGTGGCCAAAATGGCTGACCAATTTTTACATAGGAGTATATTGGAAAAATCTTTTAAAAATCTTCTTCTCCAGAACCACTGGGCCAGGAAAGATGAATCTCATATGGATTCATCCTCAGATAGTGTAGATTCAAGTTTGTTCAAATCATGACCACCGGGGGTAGGGTGGGGCCAAAATGGCCGATCAAAGTTTTATCTAGGAAAATATAGGACTTCTTCTCAAGAACCACTGGGCTAGGAAAGATGAAACTCATGTGGAATCATCCTCAGATAGTGTAGATTCAAGTTTGTTCAAATCATGACCTACGGGGGTAGGGGAGGGGCCAAAATAGCTGATCAAAGTTTTACATAGGAATATATAGGAAAAATTTTTTAAAAATCTTCTTAAGAAACACTGGGCCAGGAAAGATGAAACTCATATGGATTCATCCTCAGATAGTGTAGATTCAAGTTTGTTCAAATCTATGTATGGAAACCTTTTTAAATCTTCTTTTCAAGTACTTCAAAGCCGTGATTAGTAATATTTATGTAGAATTATCCTCAGGTAGTGTAGATTCTAGTTCGTCCAAATCATGATATGTGCTTTTTCCAAGGTGATGTGCTCAGGTGAGCGCTGTGGCCCCTGGGCCTCTTGTTTTTCCTTCCAGTGACCTTGAACTTCCCCAAATGACCTTTGGTCAAGGTCATGACACACCCTTAGGTCATGTGTAATCTTTTTATGAAATTAGAACCCACCAAGTTTATCCATAAGAAAGATATGGACCAAACACGAATTATGATTTTTTTTCTTCCAGTGACCTTGAACTTCCCCAATTGACCTTGACCCAAGGTCATGACACACCCTTAGGTCATGTGTAATCTTTTTGTGAAATTAGAACCCACCAAGTTTATCCATAAGAAAGATATGGAACCGGACACGAATTATGATTTTTTTCCACCAGTGACCTTGAACTTCCTCAAATGACCTTGGGTTTGGACACAAATTATGAATTTTTTCTACCAGTGACCTTGAACTTTCTCAAATGACCTTGGGTAAAGGTCATGACACACCCTTAGGTCATGGGCAATCTTTGTGTGGAGTAGTAGATTCTTATGTTCCTATGTAAGAAAGATATGGACCGGACACGTTTGTACTGACAGACAAACAGCTGGACAGACGGACACACAGACAGCTGGACAGATGGACAGAAGGACAAGGTGATTCCTATATATCCCCCCAAACTTCATTTGCGTGGGGTATAATATACACTTATCCACTGCAAGCCCTCGGGGAATAGTTCCCTGTCACGGGTTTGATAAAAGAGCTATCCCACTCACAACCAGTTGATAAGCGTTTTATTATACTGATGTATAATATAATTTTTGAGGTTCAAATTTTTTTTTTGAGTAAGAATAATCTGAAATCCAGATGACGTCACAATGCTACTGAAGTCATTATGACATCATCAGTCAATAGATTTATCGCTGGAAATCAAAATTGGAGGCAAAAATTGCATGAAAATTTTCCGAGGGTGGATAGCAAAAACTATACCCCGGGGTATAGCTTTGCTCTGCGTGAACTATAAAAGATAGCTATTTTACCTTCTGAACTTTATATAGGAAACATTTTAACAGAAGTATAATAATATACACTTATCCACTGTTTGTGAGTGGGATAGCTCTTTTATCAAACCCACGTCAGGGAACTATTCCCTGAGGGCTTGCCCGAGGGGAATAGTCCCTGTCAAGGGTTTGATGAAAGAGCTATCCCACTCAGAAATAGTGGATAAGTGTTTTACTATACTGATGTATAATATAATTTTTGAGGTTTGAATTTTTTTGAAGTAAGATAATACTGCAAGAATAATCTGAAATCCTGATGACGTCACAATGCTACTGAAGTCATTATGACATCATCAGTCAAAAGATTTATTGCTGGAAATCAAAATTGGCGGCAA